CTTTGTTCTTTGTACACCCACCTGCTCGAGGGACTCAGGTGTTGTGTGTCAAAGCAACCGGGATGCAGTGACTTGGCATTGCAGCAGGTAGAGGAGAGGGATGTAGGTATGACCTTCTCCTCTGTTACTTTCCTCTTTTATTCTTCTCCAGTCCTTTTCACGACTGGACTCTAAATCTGGTTTTAATATCAGTTTTAATGTAGACGTGTGGTTGCTGTGAAGTGTTACTCTGCCTACAGGACTGTGGTGCAAGCATATATTACTCTTTGTTCCCTTGCCACGAAGTGCATATTTGAGCCTACATTAAAGATTTCCAGTTAGCCTCTGGTTGTGTATCACCGATTGCATGTGTGCTCGAAACTGCTAATACAAGTCCCGTACAAGTCGAGAGGAGTTAAGATCTATGAACTGTGTTTTTTCAGTACGTAACAGAGAGAGTAACGTAGGCAACTAGAAGTATTTTCTGACAGTAACAGAGAGAGTAACATAGGCAACTAGAAGTACTTTTCCGACAATTGTTACCGTCTGAACTTTGTAAGACTGTTGGAAAAAAAGGAAGAAAAAGGGAGACATGACTAAACATTAACCTAAGGAAAAAAAAATAGAAACTCATTTGACTTCTATCTTCTGATGGATCAGATTCTTGGAAACACCTCTGAGAGATCAAAATCTGTGTTGACGAACTCCTCTTCCTCCTCCACAACTCTTACAGCATCCAAGAGAGTGCAGACATACACCCGAAGAAAAGCAGCTGAAGCTTGTACAGACAGTGAAGCATAGTCATTAGAAGTGAAAGCTGGGAACTAAGACGTACAATTTGTGTTTGCATTTTTTTGATTTGTGCTTGTGACCTGCTTCTCAGTTTTCCTGGCTGACAATATTTATTCTAGGTATTACTGTTATCTGCAAATTATTATCCATAAAATACTTTGTTTTCACTTGAACAGAATATCCTAATCTTGTCAACCAAGGGAATGAAAATAGCTTGGAGTGATGGAACCATGAGTAGCTCGCAGGGTTGATTTTTTGCTGCCCAAAGTAGTCCCCACAGCTCATGAAACAGTGAATGCTACATATATGCCTTTTATGTCTTACCTGGAGTACTGTACGATGGCCTGTGCCCAGGTTTGCGTTCCCCTTTGTGGTGAGCCACAAAGGACTGGCAGACATCTGCACAGGGATGTAGGCTTCTCTTCTCAGGGCGTCCACTGCTTTGGTTCTCCAAAATAGTAGGCACTTATCTTTTAAGCTGCTGTGCTTCTGCCACATTTTTTTGAGGTGGTACAGAAGTTGGATTTCAGATCATTAAAGACAGAGCTTGAAGCTAATACATGTGTGACTGGGAGTCCAGACAAATAATACAGCAACATCAAAGGGAGAGAGCCCTAACATGTCAGTGTCCGCTGATAAAAATCAGTAACTTATTCAGAATCATCTCTGCAAAGGAAGAAGATGTGGTTGCAGTAGAAAAAAAAGCCTCTGCTAAGAAATTGGTTTTCAGAGCTGCTGAGTACCCCATACTCCAGAAGCTGTAATTTCTCCATCTTTGAGAAGCAGGACTTAAATATGATATTAACTCCATCTTCATAGACATTCACGGTTGTAGTCCCTTTTTGTAACAATGCTATGAAGATGTTCGCAAGTTGGTTCTGAACAAGTCAGTGATCGGAACCAGAATTTGCCTTACCACGTTCCCCTATCTTGCTCTGATCATGCCAAGCACCAAACCACCTAATGTAGCTGTACCACTTTTGACATCCTAATATTTTTCCCCTGTATTGCACAGGCTTAGATAAGTTACCTTTTAACATAGCACTGCATATAGTATGCCTTTAAAGTCATGTCATGCACATATTTGAAGGAGAAATTAAGACCTGGTGGGCATTTGAAAATAACTTATTTCACTGAAATAAGATGGAAGAGAGGAAGCGATCAAGTGATAAACTTGTTCATGTAATGCTGAAAAGATCAGAAGAGAGAAAGGAGACAATTCCTTTACATAGAAAAGAGCAGCATCTTTAAGCCGTTGGATCAAGACAACTTCTCAGTTTCGTTGGAGCAAAGATGGGTTTGGTCTGTTCACAGCTTCATGAATAGATTGACAAAACTGTAGGAATAAGTTGAGAAATCCTGGTGGTTACCTCTACTCCCAGCTCAATGGGGTGGCGGGCTTTGCTCCCAGTTCATGCTCGCTGTTTCTTGCCATGACCTCCAGCAAACAATATTTCCACTTTCACCCACTCCAGGCCTTTCAGGTGGGTGGAGTTGCAGCTGCAATCCTAAAGCCAGGTTTCACCGTGTTTTGGTTTTGATTCCTTAGTCATGTTTCTGTGCTGTTCTCCGTGTTTATCATTAAAGAGAAACACCTCTGGTCGGAGGGCTTCACGGGTAGATGTGCAGCATTTCAGAGGCAACGGAAAAAGTTGGGCCGTGGGTGTAGTAGTGGAATGAAATGGAAGAGAGCAAAGATAGAGGACTTCTTGTAATGCTGTTCTCCGTGTTGAGACTGTACTGTTCTTGCAGATGTAAAGGAGGGAAACAGAAGGTACAGGAACATTTCATAGAAAACCAAAACTAGAATAAGCCCTTTACCAGCAAGTAGGTATATTTCTTGCTCTCGAACGCTGACGGTGTAAATAAGCAATTCCAGACAAGGTACTTGAAGCAAGGTACTAATGAGAACATGTGAGGGATGATGTTGAGGTGGTTTTGTTGGTCGATTTTTTGTTACTTCTTGCCTGTGCTCTCTTCCAAGATCTGTAAACTTAGGAGACGTTTGCATGAAATGATGATTTTAGAGAAACACAGGACATAGAAACAGTCACGCTCTGCATTTATTGCACACCTACCAATGGTCATAAATAGAAAGGTAACCATCCCCCAAACCTTGCAGCCATACAAAAGGAGGAAGTTAGAAAGCAGCGTTTCATTCAAGCCTACGCTGAGTTGCTCTCTTTGAATGGAGAGGCCGGGATATGACATTTGCATAGCACGAGGAAGATACAACAAGAAAATAACGTCTAAATCCGTAATTCAGCAAATGCTTGTTAGTCTAATGGCTCGATATACAGACGAATAACCCAGGTCCTAACTATTTCGTGTGACTGAAGAAAGACCATTATGATGTGTGGTGTCAGCTTTCACATACTGATCGCTTAGACTAGTTTTTCAGGCTTTTAAGAAAAAAGTAATTACAGTAAAAAGCAGAGGAAATTAAACCGCAACCCCCCTAGATTCTTTAATATTAACGGTGTGATCTGGTAAGAAAAGAAAAGTCATAAACTTGAAACGTACTTTAGGAACTTAAAAATAAAATACAGCATTTTGCTGAAAGCATGGTAAATGATCATGCGTCCTTTCCTTTTCTGTGCTGTGCTTTTCTGATTAGCCAAAGGGAGTAAAAGGTTGTGGGCTTTATAATGCTTTGGGGTATTGAAAATCATTTCCTTTTAAGTGATATTACCATTCGACTACTGCACAGTACTGAGCACATTCATCTTCTGCTGAGGCTGCAGGGAAGAGGTGGCACCCAACATCTTACCAAAATTCGCCAACTCTTACCTGGGAGCTTCATGATCAAGTGTTGAATTGGCAGAATCTTTCATGGTACTGTGGTGGTTGGAGAACACTTCAACTATGAATTTTTTATCCGGATCAGGGTCAAATGTGGACGTTCGTCATTTGTGCCTGATCACAAAATAGTTGGTTGTGGTGTTACAAAATTTGCCCAAATTAATCAGCAGCATTTAACAGGAGAAGCAGAATTCTGCAAGAGTAATCATTAGCAATAGAAAATGCTAATGTACGGGGAATATTTTATATATGTAGGGTAATAGATTTAATTCAAGTGTTTCTGAGAATTTGGCAAAGGCTTGCTAATAAGAAAATTCTGTATTTGACATTGATCTTTGCAAAAGTCTCCATAAATGACTGGCAGCACGATCAGTCTGTGCAGAGAATAAGGAAAAACAGTTTGTAAGTTGAATATAAATTAAAAACTGCTGCAATTCGTATATTTAAGTCAGACGAGTATTGTTAGAAAGTTGTTGGGGGTTCATTTTTCTTCAGTTCTTGGGTGTCCTTCTAATATGTTAGATTAGAATGAACAGCATTCCACATCTTCAAATCTGTTCAAAAAGCTGCCTCCTCATGCTCTGGAGATCAGATTGCCAGACAAGAGATAAGGAAAGCAGCAAGAACAAAGGAAAGCTGGCTGCACAGGTTTGAAACGTTTTTTTGGCATTGCAGTAAAAGGGTTCATCAGAAATTCGAGATGGAGGATTATAAATGTCATGGAGCTGAATATGTCCTTTATAAATCAGGTGCTTTTTTCTCCCATTTTTTGTTTTTTTGGTTTTTTTTTCTTTCTTCATTCTAAGGGGCATGACTGTTATGGGGTTTGTATTTTTTTTCCCTAGCGTATTAAAAAAAAGATGTCATTGCTGGGGTTCATTTCTTGCTGTGACATTTCTTTATCAAAGGCATGTTATGTTTGTTGGTACTTAGAGATGACTGCTGAGTTTATTAATCAGTTTGATGGTTCTCATTTATGAAGCTTCTTAAAAGAAAAGCTTGCTCTGAAGGTTGTATTACAATTCCTTATCTGCCCTAGACTGATGCAGAAAAGCATTCCCAGGTTGAGCGGAATTCCTTGTGGTCCGGTGATGAAGTCAAGAAATCAGACGGAGGATCCGATAGCGGCATAAAAATGGAGCCAGGATCTAAATGGAGGCGGAATCCCTCTGATGTGTCCGATGAATCTGATAAAAGCACTTCTGGTAGGAAGAACACTGTTATTTCGCAGACGGGCTCCTGGCGACGGGGCATGTCAGCTCAGGTTGGCATTACCACACCAAGGACTAAACCTTCAACCACCTCAGGCACATTAAAGACACCTGGAACAGGTGAGAAAAGGTGTAAGATATAAACAAGCCAAAAAGTGTGTTCAGTATGAAAACAGTTTAAATACTTTCCAGAGGCAGAACCTGAACTTCAGGTAATCCTGTCTTTATTTTTAGGTATTGTTTTAACCTGTGCAGCATCTCGTATGTCCACATTTCTATTTCTGTTCATTTGAAAATGCATATTTTGGATTAGTACACTGTGAAAGTTGTTTTCATGACAACTCTAGTCTTAAGCCAAGCTATTTATTGGGCACAGTATTGCCATATGAAGAATAAATAATATAATTTCAGCTTTTGAAGTCACGGTTAACTTTAAGAACATACAGTATGTGTGGTTGAGGAGATTTATTTTTTTTCCCCCATACTAAACTAGCATGTTAATTTATACTAAACACTATTTAGTTCTGTATTTTCTTATAAATGTATTAGTGATTTTAACACTCGCAGATGTGTGAATGAAAATTGATTGAATTTGCATAATCAAATAACATAAGTTAATACCTCTCCTCTTATTTGATCGTGTATGCAATTGGACATGAAAAAGTTGAAGTTGGACACTTTTTTGAACACTGCCTTTTAGGAAAATTATACTAATGGCCTAACACTGCTTCTGTCTAATGATAAAAAAGGATCGATCTGTGGCAGCTACAGAGGGAAACGTTTTTTTCTTATCTGTCACTATTACATAAGACTGTTCTGCTTTTCATATTCTCAAGGGCAAACACACTACATACTTTCTCTGGCAAGTCTGCATGTATAACTCACTAGAGTGGCATGTAAGTTCAGTGCAGACTAGATCATAATTTTTAACCACACTCTGGTGGCTAGCACGCTTTTGCTTTTCATGCTGCTTTGAGTTTCATCATTTGCTTGATGTTTTCAAGTCATTAAATATTAGAATTCTTTTTCTATTTTTGTAGGGAAAACTGATGACGCCAAGGTATCAGAAAAGGGTAGACTATCTCCTAAAGCTGGACATGTTAAACGTTCCCCATCAGATGCAGGACGCAGCAGTGGTGATGAATCCAAAAAGCTTCCCACAAGTAACTCTAGAACAACTGCTGCTAATGCTAATACATTTGGATTTAAGAAACAGAGCGGGTCAGCCGTAGGCATGACTATAATCACTGCCAGTGGGGCAACTATCACCAGTAGATCGGCTACCCTGGGAAAAATCCCAAAGTCATCTGGACTCATGGGTAGGACCACTGGTCGGAAGACTAGTGTTGATGGCTCACAGAACCAGGATGATGGCTACTTAGCACTTAGCGCCCGAACTAATCTTCAGTATCGTAGTTTACCCCGGCCCAGTAAATCCAGTAGCAGAAGTGGAGCTGGGAATAGATCTAGCACAAGTAGCATAGACTCCAACATAAGCAGCAAGTCAGCCGGTTTGCCTGTCCCTAAAATGAGAGAGCCTGCCAAGGTAATCCTTGGAAACTCTCTGCCAGGATTAGTCAATCAGACTGATAAAGAGAAAGGGATTTCGTCTGACAACGAAAGCGTGGCCTCATGTAATTCTGTTAAAGTGAACCCTGCATCACAGACTGCTTCTAGCGGAGCTCAAAGTACTCACCAGCAAGGAGCCAAGTACCCCGATGTGGCCTCTCCCACTTTGCGCAGGTAGGCAATAAATTCGTTGATTGTGCAATGATGTTAGTCGGAGCTGAATGATCAGGACTCTTCCAGCCAGGCCTGGCTGTGTTTTGTGGAGCACTTACTATTTAGCGTCCTACATCAAGGTCTTTGTATTTACATTTAATTTCACATAAACAGGTTGGCCAGTGTTGTAAATACTCAGCACGTCACGCGACAGCAGCAAAAAATTTAACATTTGGGAAAAAAAAACCTGTCTGGCAGAAAGTTTGGCAATTTTGATACGAGTCTCTTTGTTACAAAAATCATACCTAAAGGCTTTATCCATGCAGAATATCGCAGGAATAAGAGTTTTCTTACCTGAAGGTTACTGACGAGTTCTTGCACCAATGTGTATGTAACAACCCTGGAAATGCTCCAATGGTGGATCAAATTGACAACAGGAGAGTTATTTCAGATTTTCATTATGACAGATGCATAATTTGACCTGCCATACGTAGATTCACATGCCTAACCCAAACCGATCTTTCAGTTGTGTGGATTAGGCCAGTGTGTTGTAAGACTCAACATCAGGTTATTCGACTGTGTAGAAGAACCCTAAGTAAAGCTGCTGTCTGAGCTGGGTTGAATTTTCTTATTTTAACAATATTTTTTTAACCAAAAATCTTATTTGTCTTCTATTTCTCCACCACTGCCCCACACATGCTTTTAACATTAGTATTGAGTTGGTCAGGAATTAATTTGTTGATGCAGCGTGCATCAAAGCCTTGATACTGCTGAAGGTTCCGTCAATATTATTTTTCAATTTAATTTGACATTGAGTAGCTTGTCTGTTTCAAGTTGCGGTGTTTTACATTTCATTTTGTCTTGACGCCCATAATACCCATACAGTTCCGCTACATCATCCTGCTTCCAGTGATGTGAGAAAGCCACATTCCATCTGAAGCACCAGTGCAAACATAATGGCTGTGATGGCAGCTTAGGCTAATGCTGTAAAGAGTTGTAAACTGGTTTGTTTTTTTTTAGATGGGTGGTTTTATTTGAAGAACCTATGTGAGGATAATTCAAGATACTTCGTTTATTTTATTCCTGGTTATCATTAGATAAGCCATGTCCTTTAAAACATTTGGTTTTCATCAATGGCTACTGAAAAGGAAAAACTCCAATAGACCTTTCATTTCTATAGTATACCCCATGAGAAATGCAGATTTTCAGTGTTGCAAGCCTCAGGCACATTAATCTTGAAATTTGATTGGAAATTTTTTTTTATTACTAGAAAGCCACCTTGTTAGCCATGTAATTAAAGTACTACATTAGAAATACGTGAAACTTCAAAGAGAAGACACCGAGGCTCAGTTTAACTATTCCCTCATTTGATTTACAATTTCACTCTTGAATTTTCACAAGACTGTCTAAATAGTCATGTATTGAAATGCGTCAGAGTTGAATTTGGCCTCGTCTGCTTATTACTGATTTCTAGAATGACAAGAAGTTTTTTAGCTTAATTTTCATAGTCAGTTGAGATGAGTTGCACACATTGTTTTTTTCTTATTTCCCCTCGGCCCTGTAGTTTTTTAATAATATACAATAAATTAGAATCCATACCTTTGTAATGATACAGATTTACCTGCAAGCCCGCGAACATACGTAACTTCTATGCTGTCATAAACAGTGAAATTCTATAATTCTGCGATGAGGGCCATCCCTGCCTCTGTTCTCTCAGTATTCCCTTTAGCTCCGGTATTATATACCCGGCATGTCCCTTAAGTGAAACCATCGTTTATCTTGATACATTTTATTATTAAATTGGGCCTTCATGCTTTGCAGTATATAATACACTGCTTTTCTGTTAACGGGAGACATGCATGACCCAAGAGCCAGCTCAGAGATGTCAGTCTCTTGTCAATAATAGTGGATAGGAGTAAACAGATGTCCTTCCTCGTAGGGTATGTCCTTCCAGAGGTAATCTCTGTATTGATGTGACTGTCTTGCTGGGTTGGACTTTCTCTGGACTGAAAGGAATGCTCTCCAGACCGCATCCTCTTCTGAAGGCGTTTGTTACGAGGTTGTGGTTTGACCAGATACTGCCTTTGGCAGCAACATGTTTCTGTTTGTGCCGGCTGCGGTGCAGCATCCTTTCAGTTGTATTAGAGGTGCTGTGAAACAGTTTCGGGAAGACTGCGTAGCTTAAAAACAGCTTGTAAAACTGTTTTGTGGGTGGTTGGGGTTTTTTTTAAGCTGTAGGATCCTATCTCTAAGAGTACAGTTCCCCCAGTACAACCGAAGAGGTGGTATGCAATGGCATAGGAGCAGGAATACCTTAGGCTGGTATTGCTGCTGAAGGCCATGTATCATTGCGGTATGGTTTGACATTTTTCTTCATACTTGCTCTAGTAACATTAACTAAATAAAACTGAAAATGTCTCTAAATTCCCATAGGAATGGGTTTTATCATTTGAAGCCTTTTGCTTGTCTAAGTCAGTGTCTCCTAATCAGTGAGGTGTGATGTGGAGTCCAGGTGAACCAAGTTTGCCTGGTCTGTGCTGGTTTGTGGATGTCTGCATTGCTCTCTCTACATCACGTGCTGAGGGGATCATGGCAGAGCTATTAAAGCAATGCTGGATTCTGAGATAGATGTAGATGGGCATCTTAGCCTGATCCAGCAGTGTTGCCCAGGTGCTTTGTGGCAAGTATGCAACACCAGCCATCCAGTTGAGATGTGTTCCAGGCATCTTGCACAGGCGCACTGGAGCTGCAGGTAGCACCCGTGCAGTAAGTACAGTGCTTCTGGGCATCGCTGCACTTACTGCACGTGTGCTGTAGGGTGCCCAGCTATATTACACAGCCTGTGTTTCTGGGAAGTGTTGGACAAAGTGACTTAGTGTGCATCTGTTGTACAGACAACCTGGGCATACTCAAAAGCAGAGAAAGTTCTGCTGGGTGCATACCCACCCGTAAGTCTTCAGGAGCTCTTGCATAGAAGTGCGGTAGTCCTCTATTCCGAGGACCACAGTCTGATAGATACCCGCTTTGAAAGATTTCATCCCCAATACTCCACACTGTTGATAAGAAAAAAGCAAATCCGTATAGATATCTGTGAGGAAAACTAAGGTTCCAAAGTAACTTAGCAGTTACAGGAGCTAAGTGGCAGAAACAGAAGCAACATCTTGGGGTGGATGTTTGAAGCTAGAGTCAAAAGCTACGCTTCCTTCATCATTTTGAGGATCAGTTTTAGAACGATTGATAATCTGGTCTTAAGTACGTTTACTTCTAAGGCACTTTTGCACTTTTGGCAAAAGTGATGCAAACTGGAGAAGCTGCAGTCATCCTCCTCCAACTGTGCTTTTAGATCCCCTCCCTTGCACTAGTTCTGGCACTCAGCTAGTCTTTTACTGAGCCAGTGCCAGGTGCCAAACCAGGTAAAATCTCATTCTCCACTCAAAAAAAATAGTTTCCAGCTAGCTTGGCTCCTGGAAAGGAGTTGAAATGCGACAAACCTACATTTGATACCAGTAAATATTTTTTCCTGTTACATCCCAGCAAATGCTGCTTCTGTGCAGAGCATTCAGTGATTTGCACAGAATTTACCTGGATGGCAAGCTTTCAACCTCTAATATTCCATGCTTCGGATTAATCAATGCAGTGTTTCTCTGGTATCCTTTTTCCTTAAGGAGCAGAAGACAATATGGCTGTATTTTAACTTTGTGCAAGTATTGCTTGATGATTCAGAGAAGAAAGACCTAAGATAGATTTGAAGCTATCGTAATTGTCTCTGGACTTTATTGAAGGCAGTGTGAACACAGGGAGATTCATAAGTTTATAGTTGTGTATGTCCAGTCTAGGATCATTTACTTAGTGTTGGTTTTCTGAAGCTAAGATGATATGTGGTCTAGGTATAAAATATCCTTGCGTTTAATATTCCACTTTATGTATTTTTCATGTTGTCTTTTTTTACAGACTTTTCGGTGGCAAGCCTAGTAAACAAGTTCCCATCACAACAGCTGAAAATATGAAAAATTCGGTAGTCATCTCCAATCCTCACGCTACTATGAACCAGCAGGGTAATCTTGATTCACCATCTGGCAGTGGTATGCTGAGCAGTGGGGGCAGCAGTCCTCTGTATAGTAAAAACACAGATATGAACCAATCTCCACTAGCTTCTAGTCCCAGTTCAGCACATTCAGCTCCTTCCAACAGTTTAACATGGGGTACCAACGCAAGTAGCTCTTCTGCTGTTAGCAAGGATGGCATTGGATATCAGTCTGTCAGCAGTCTTCATACCAGCTGTGAATCCATTGATATCTCTCTGAGCAGTGGAGGTGGGCTGAGCCATAACTCCTCCAGTGGCTTGATTCCAGCCTCTAAAGATGATTCTCTGACTCCCTTTGTCCGAACCAACAGTGTTAAGACTACGTTGTCTGAAAGGTTAGTAGGTTTTTCTCTCGTTTCCATACGTTTGTATGTATCTCAAATGTGAATGAAGTCCTGGCAGCAGTAGCCAACACTGCAGATGCAATTCAAGTTGTGCTTCTTACAAGATAATGCTGAATGGTATTACTAGGACTTACAAAGAAACCATTCCAGGCAAGGAGCCCGGTTCAGAGCAGGAGGAATGGGTTCAGGTGAGGTTTTTAATTTGCTGTGGTAGCCAATGTGACAACTTTTCTTGCTGCCGTATTATACCTACTATTTGAATTTAGCATCACGTATTATCCGTGCAAAGATCTCCTGTTAGTTGTTCTGATAGTGATATTCAAAAAAACCTCCATCATTGTTATCATTTTGATTTGAGAAGCCAACTGTTTCTTGTTAAACTTCTTGTTTACAACATTTTACAAGCTTTTAAACTGGAGGTCATGCTGAAAAGAAAAGTCCCTGTCTCCCTAGTCACTTGATCCCTCCTCAGCCTCTCCCTGCTGCCCTGTCCCATCTCCAGCTGCTCTCTACAGTGTTTCGGTACAGGCATTCGTGTGAATGCTTAGTGAGCCCGACCGGGAGATGGATCCAACTGAAAAATGATCACCTGAATTGTATTTCAGACTGATCAGTTCCCCAGCTCCTTACACGATGAGGTTCATCGGTATCTGTGCGGACACAGAGTAGGAGCTGGGAACAGACTGGCCAGGGAGGAGGGAACGGGACTGCTTTTTCAGCATCAGAGCTGTATTAACGGCACATTGAGCTAACATCGGGATAAACCAGACAATGACTTGCAGCGCACACTCTCTGAGTGACCTTTTGTAGAAGGCAGTAGTACCCCTGCAAGCATTGGAAATCAGCTGTATCCTGACGTGTGGTTGTGTAGTCAGGTAGCAAAATTTTTGTAGTTGCATCTCAGTGGAGAAGATCACCGCTGAATATAATGTTCTGACAGTTTGGGTTTCTGTTTGTGTTTTATTATAACTCCTTTCTGTTCTCTCCTCTTTTCATTCTAATATTCCTTCTCTTGTTTTCTGTCTTGTTGGACTGATTCTTCTAGCCCTCTTTCTTCCCCTGCTGCTAGCCCCAAATTCTGCCGAAATACTTTGCCCAGGAGACAGGACAGGTAATGCTGTCTCAGGACAGGAGTACGCACAAGGCTGTAGGTTTTGTTGCCCATCTCGGTGAAGCAAATTGTTTTGTGACAGACTGTGCTCAGTTGAGTCCTCTGCTGTGTTCATCGTTCAGGTGTGAACTGACACAAAGACATGCCAGTGAGAGTCCCCTCAAACACCCCATCTATCTACCTAAATCAATCTGGAGAATGGCATACGGCACAGTTGGCGTGTTTTTGGTGTTGCTGTTGTTACTGGGATCATCCTTTGGTTTGTGGGGGTATTTTTTTTTTTTCCTCATTTCTTTGCCACAGGCAATTTGAAAAATCTTGCCATTTTTTTTCTACCAATCTAAACTCTCACTAGCATTTCAGCATTCCTCTGGCATGCTGCTTTTCCCACTGCCTTTCAGGCCTGTCCTTTTTGTCGTGAAGTCCCCGTGTCATTCAGTGTCGTCAGTCTTTTGCTGCAGTTTGGCTCATGAGTGTTTTGCAGGGACTTGGATACATCCATCCTTGTAAAGACGAATGCTAAAGTTAGGAAAAGATGACCCGAATCTAAACATTCTAGCTCGCTTTTGCTCACTGCTGTAATTTTGATCACTCCCACGCTGTAATTAATCCATTTAAGCACGTGGATATTTCCTTTAAAAACAAATTAACAGACTCTGCTCAGCTACAAGTTCATCAGTTGTAAAAACATAACCTTAAATGTTTGGGGTTTGGACAACTAATAGATTAATTTTACTTGGCTAATGGAATTTAAGCTAAGATTTGAAAATTAAACGGTCTGGGCTCAATACTTTTACTGCTATACATTGCAGCTGCGTAACAGTAATTAGCTGCATTCCCTAAATGGTGTCTGCTGAAAGAAATGACGGGAAGGTGGTTTGGACTTGAAGATTCTCATCAGTTCTCACAAATAGTCTGCCTCATGCCTGCTGAAAAGCATATTTTTAAGCATCCATTTGACGTTTAAAGAGCCATTTTTGTTCATTGTGGGTAGGAGAAATAGCAAAATCACCTTGTGAACAGATGAGATTCATTGGCATGGTACCAGATGCATGTTTGTGCAAATCCACACCCGGGTAAGGAGGTTTTTGCATGTTTCTGTAGGAAGGCCCCAGCACCTTTTCCTCTGAAAAGGTGATGCAGATGTTTGTACGTCCTTCGTCCTGATCTTATTCCTTCCCTTTTGTTCTTCTCTGAAGTTCTTTTCTTTTAACTTTTCTGCAGCGACCCACATCTTGATAGGAACACTTTGCCTAAGAAGGGACTCAGGTATTGGTGTTTCCACATGGTTTAACAGCTTTTGTTGTGGCTTTGGAGTTTGCTTTGTGTTTCTGTCGTGGCTGGTGGTGATGGTCGCAGTTTGCAAGAGGTGGCAACGATATTCTTTCTTTCTTTCTTTCTTTCTTTCTTTCTTTCTTTCTTTAATCCTCAAAGAAGGCCATTGACCACTGTGCTTTTTTTCATCCAGTGGCTTCTCCGCTTGAGCAAGAACTGTGGCTTTTGCTGGCTGAATTGCTGAAAAGCATCTCATAAACCATCACTGGGCTTGACTTGAAAACAATAATTTTGCAGCTTCTATGGCCATTACATGGAATGACTTGAGATCATTTTCACCCGGGAACCTTGGTGTTGATATACAAATAGAAAAGGTTTTCAATATCATGCCAAACCTTTTAGGATGAGATTGGACATACTAATTTAAAAAATCTGCTTCAGAATACCTAAATATATAGGGCACTTAGAGATAACCTCTACTCTTCTAGAAAAGAACAAAAAAATCCCCAAACAAACTTTTGGGAATTGTCTTCTCATACATTTTGTGTATCTGTAAGGTCGTGATTTTTATAACATAAAAAAACTGCACTGAAAAAGGTTTTCCATTGATAGAAGCAATTCTAGCGAGATAATCAGCATTACGTGTATTAATTAAATGCTTTAAGTGTTACAGAAGATACCTTAGACAATTTAGAAAATTGCAGTTTCAGAATTGCTCAGTGCAGCTTCTAGGATCACCAAGTTGATGCCTTGAAATTGCAGCTTCAATTTATTCTGCGCTGTACACATTGTTCTTCACAGCAGCTTTGTCCCATGAAGCCGAGTGCTAAAAGCCTTTCTTAAAATGGCATTTTGTTTAAAATGTTTCTGTGGTTCTCAAGTATGTCTCTAATAAATAAAGACTCTTTTAAGACCGAAACATTTGAGTGCTGAAGAGGTAGGTATTAATGCTGCAAAAAATAATCCTTAGTGTGTTAAAGTAAAATGACTGTTTGAAGCCCCTTACTAAACTGATACATGTGCAAAGTTTAAGAGATGCAGATAGTCAGGGACTGTTGCTTAAGTGTTGAGGCATAAGCAGAAGAATGAATGTATTTTTTGAAAGGAGTTTGAGTTTTTGCAATGTTAATTATTGTAGTGTTCACATTGATTTAAAATAGTCTTAATAAGCGATATCTTAGTAGAGTATTTAGTTGGAGGGAATCTAATTAATTAAATAGATAATATCGACTAATAATAGGCTCCAAGTGTTTAGTTTTTGGAAGGAGAGCTAGTAACTCATAAATATTTCTCAAAAGCAGATGGCATAGCCTAAGACAGACACTGAAATCCATCAGCAGACAAGTGTTTCCATGATGCTCTTTCTGTTGATACCTGTACCCTATCACGTATTTCACATAACACCTGTGGTAACACACCTATTTTTCAGGCATATACAGAAGCAGCTTTAAAACTCTGCTTAAGCTGAAGCCAGCAGGTATTTTGCCGTTGATGTTGGCGTAGACAATGTTTCTGCTGTTTTCTTTGCCTTCAGAAAAGGCTAAACATAGTCTCCTTCGTGATGATTTAATGCTATTAGTTTTGAACTAAATGGGATGCAACCTCCACAAACCTTTATATTAATACCTCTGGAATATGAATTATTGGGTCACAACTTGTTTAAAAATCTGATAATGGCTTTGTTGACTTGAATTTGGTTGTAATATGACAAAAAGCCAGCTAAGCTTATAGATGCACAAAAATATGAAAATAGTGATAGAATAACCTAAGGAAAGGAAAGAATTTCCAAATTATGGCTTTATTTTTCAATCATACATATGTAACGCACACCATATTTTATTCTACAGTACACAACTTCTATCTGCAGCTTTTTGTTTACCACTAGTTTGGTTACTACTGAAGCCATAGGAAAGGAGGTTTGGGGTTTTTTTTCCCAAACAGAAGTGGAATGAATTAGGAACAGCTTAGAACAGCTTGGAACAGCTCCTTAATTCAGAATTGTATTGGTTTTATATAATTTTTATCCTTAAATTTCATATAAGAGTTCTTCCATCTATCTTTCTCTCTCTTCCTCCCCAAGTCTTGTGACATTTCGTGATTGTTTTGGTTTTTTTTTAATTTTAAATAAATGTTAAAGTTCATTTTGGAAAAACTGTTTGTTTCTGCAGGTATACTCCATCCTCCCAACTCCGTAATCAGGAAGATGCAAAAGAATGGCTACGGTCCCATTCAGCAGGAGGACTTCAGGATACTGCTGGCAATTCTCCATTTTCATCTGGATCCAGCATAACATCACCCTCTGGAACTAGATTTAACTTCTCGCAGCTTGGTGAATAATTATCTGTTTGGATAATCATAGCAATACATTGTAGGTCTTGAAAATAGCATATTACACAACATAATTTTCTTTCAGCAGCTCTGAGTTCCACATTCAACCTCAGGAAGCACTTTCATTGAAATGAGTGTGACTAATTAGCATTATTATCTCGTATGCCCGAAGGTGGCATACTTGCAGTAACTCTGAAAATACTTCTTGTTGCCTACCTGTTTAGTAATATTGCTTTAAAATCCAAGCATATTACTATATGTGCCAGTCCCATCAGTTTAAGATATTTTATCTTTGTATGTATTTTTCAGGTGGCTTGTTGGAAAATTGCATAAAGCTCAGTCCGAAATAATATATAAAAGTCAGAAATTTCAAGTCAGGAAAAATGCCATTCCTTCACTTAATCACACTGATAAAAGTAAACACTTTTTAAATGAAGGAAACGATAAAAGTTGATTGACAGGATCCAAAAAGCATTGCAGATTTTAGTTGACCATATCAGCAGTTGAAATAACCTAATTTAAAGTGCTAGTAGTGCTCGTCTCTGGTGTGCTGAGTAAATATTACTTAGTCGCCTTTGCAATTTGTTTAGGTATGTAAATCAGTCCTAACAGTATATATATTGTCTTTAAGTTAAGTGACATTTGGAAAGTACTATGTCGAACAGACGTTTTCTGTTTCTTTTTGACTTTCAGAAGCCCTTCCATCTTTTCTAGAACGATAAAGAAATAATACCCAAAATAGTTAAGCCTATACTTGTGAACTTCTTATGTTGTGTGAATTTGCAGCAGCTTACGCGGTCACTTACTTCTAGTGCAGTTTTGAACTGCGGCAGTGATGTTTTAGAGCCTTTCTCTGAGCGCGCTGAAAAGAAACAGATTAAATAAACAGCTTTAAGTAAAACAACACTTAACAAAATTTCCTCTGAATATACAGACAGTGTAATTACATTGCCAACAGCTAACAAACTGTCATGAAAGTTCATGAAAGTACCTTAATGGTCCCAAAAAAAAAAAAAAAAAGAAGTGTAGTCTTAGGCCCAGAAAGTTAACTCTTTATGGCGAATATTGAAGATTTTTTACATTAATAAGCTTCAAAAGCTATTTGGCCACAAGCAATTAACAAAAAAAAGATTATCTTTTTCTGTGTTCTTAAGAAAAGAGCTTGGACATATTGGAGTCAAGAGAGGTCACTGCGTTTAGTAGCAAATGTTGATATGAAAGTTGAGCACCTTTAAACTGAATTATTGTATCTTCTACAATAGTCTGTATCAGTTGATGGTGTATATAGAAATATAGAAACAGGCAATGACATAACACCAAGAGGAACCTGCCAGTTGAACAGCAATTCTGTTGTTCTCTTTTCTTCCACAAATCAACTAGTTCTTAGTAAATAGCAGGTATAATTTTAGCACAAAAGTTCTTTAAAAAAATGTGAAACTGGAGTAGATGTTTTGTGCTCTAAACACTGGCTGGGAAAGCATTGGCTTTTGAGGCAGAATTGATATTTTATAATTCTTAGGACCTCATAGTGGAAAGAAACAATTCTGAAATATACAACTATTAGGAAACTAAAGCTCTTAAAATTTGTGACTTAAATACGTAGAAAAATGTCATTTTCTAAGAACCTGAAGGCTTTGAAGGAGATCATTCATAAGGCCTGTTCTGTATAGGCGAAGTACTACTTTAAATTACTTCGGGCATTTTAGTCCTTTTGTGAGCAAGGACTGTTCCAAATTAAACAAGGGTTAATTAGTTCATGCCTGCAAGGTGTTAGTGAGTTGACTGAGCTTGTCTGTAGAAGCATAGACAAATCACCCAGTGTTTAAAACGACCTTATTTACTTGAGTTTTCTTACTCACTAGCTTGATTTGCATACCTCTTACTTGAATTCATTGAATTTAGAAAAATAATGAAGCCTGGAGAGGATGACATTGAAAATTTGTGTCTTGGGAAAAAAAAAAATTTTTTTTGGTAGTTGCACAAAAATTAGGTATGAAAATTTGTGGCCGCGCAAATAAATTGGTGTTTATTCTTCACTTTATAGCAAGCCCAACCACCGCAGCCCAGATGAGCCTGTCAAATCCAACCATGCTACGGACCCACAGCCTTTCCAATGCAGATGGTCCTTACGACCCCTACAGTGATACGCGCTTCAGGAACAGCTCGATGTCCCTGGATGAGAAGAGCAGAACAATGAGCCGGTCCGGCTCTTTCCGCGATGGCTTTGAAGAAGGTCAGTAAAGTATGTGATGGTGCTGGAAATGATCAGAAGATGACGTTCTCACATAAACCAAGTATAAATTTTCTGCTTTTCAGTTCAGCACAGGGGTCATTTCAGAGCACAGTTCTCTCTGTGTGGAGCTCTCAGCGTTAGATAAAACTTTAGTCCTGGTCATTCTTGTTCTGATGATATTCATCCAGTGGTCCTTCTGGCCAGACATAGGAAAGCATGTAAGTGTTGTACCTAGAGCATCACTGTTCAAGAAATGATTTAAATACATCCTGTGCTTCATTTTTAGCGATCTCAAAATTATAGTTCATACTTAGAGTTAGCATATTAAAGTGTTTCCTTGAATAGGACTCTTCTCCTGAACCTGGGCCTCCGCACTTCTGTTTGTAGTATAAATAATTGATATCAGCCAGACTGTTGTTTCTATCCCAGTTAATTCTTCCAGTATTTAATCTGTATTCAAATTATCTTTCCTTCTTATTTCTGCTCAATGTCCTGGGTTGCTGTCACACAGCTTCCACAGAAGGGATCTGAGTAGTTCTTCAAAACATCTAGGCTCTTCTTTTTAATTTCTCATTGTTTTTTTCAAATATGTAATCATACCTCATAAAAGAAGCCCATGTAAATATAAGAAGAAAAAGTCATTTACCTATAAATAAATATTTAGTTTGATTGCTACTGATCAAGCAACCTTACAGCTGTAGCAGGAGTAGCTATGAGCTGACGTTAAAACCCTCACGTGTTGCACTTTGAGAAGTCAAGCATGGGGTGAGCTCTGGGAGTGGTTCATAGGAAGGTCATAGGAAGCTCTTTCAACGTTAGCTGTTTGAATCTTAAATCTCCTTTCTGGCAAGGATTGGGAGCTTGGTTGGCTATGAAGTACTTTATCACTACAGGTCACACGAGCCTTTGCTGACTTACTTCCTCCACTGCTGAAGACCTGCACTTACTCAGCAGTGTTAATACCAGTGCCCCGTTGTTGCTGTTCCCCTACAGCCACATGGGAGCCACGCTTAAGTGCTTGTAGGCGCCTTTAGGAGCCACAGGGTGCCTTCCTGGAGATACTGGTTATCCCATCTGTTTTCTGCCATTGGAAGGGGTGGAAAATGCGCATTGGGTATGGCTCCAGACAGATTCAGGGCTAATTCGTTACTGAATTTAGCCAATCTAACTCCATTACATTTAATTGTATTTTAGAGGCCCACGGCTGAGGATCTTCATTAGGGGTTGAAAATTATTAGAATAATGCTGTAGGGCTGAAAACTGTGTCATTGCAGGAATTAACCTTGGTTTGTGCCATGCTCTCAGAAAGCTAGATGATCATGAACAGTCAAAGACTGCCTGATACTTAGTCAGTTGAATTCCATTCTGAGATGAACAGTCCTGCTCTTCCTAAAGAGTTCCTTAATATAATCTGTGAAGGAATTTAAATCACAGCATCTGTGTTATACTTAGATTTACTGAAAGAGCTACTACAGTAAAACTTAATCAGGTTTTATTGAAGACATCCTCAAAAAAATTGTAACCTTTTAAGTGTGCTTAAGATTGCAGCGAATCCATTTTGGCATGTTTGAGGTTGAACTCTCTCTTATAATTCAGAAATTCTTGTCCAGGAGACAGTTTGGAAGAATGTTTAATAAGTATTACTTGTTTGAGGACAAACCATTTAAAAAAAAGGAAAAGGGAAGAGTTAGGTGAAATGCTCTACAAAGTGCTTTTCATTCATTTTAAAAAAGTAATAAAAATGATGTCCAAGAAAACTCTACCAGGTTATGGACTTGAAAGCAGTGGAAAAAGATCACTTTTGTATATGAGGAGGAAATTTGACCCTCCAGTGGACATGCTGAAGAAGTCCCTTTCCGATTTTCCTAAATTTTTGGCACCTAAAAGGATAATAACATTCTACCAGATGGGATGAATGTTTAGGTGCAGACTCTGTATTTTTGTCTTCAGGTTAAAGGTCTTCTGTCACTTCTCTGGCCATACGGAAGGCAGGGATAGCCTGCTTATTAGCTCCTGCTTATTTCTCAGGGAATCACAAGTTATAAGTGAGCAAGTGGTTCTGAATATGGCATATATGTTGTCCTGTGCTTTCAAACCTGCGGATCTAATTCACCTTCACAGAATGAGAGAATAGATCGAAAAGTATGAATACATCATTCGCCTTCACCTTGAGAAAATAGATCAAAAAGTATTATAGAAATTAAATTTCTATAGAACAATATTCGCCTTCACCTTGAGAAAATAGATCAAATAGTATTATAGAAATTAAATTTGTGGTTAATGAACAAATTGATTTTATACAATCAGTCAGTGTCAATGAAGCATAAATCCAGGTCTTAAGTAAAACTTACCACTCCTTAATTATTTATTAGCACATAAGATTACAAGACATTTTATTCTTATTAACTTCAGCAGGGCCAGGATTAATTCTTAAAAGCCTTTTTTCTTTTGTCTCCGTAGTGTGAAGTACAGTCATGTTCTCTCACAGCACAGCGTGTAGGTCGAAATGGTAGTCAGCCTTGCAGTACGTGACTCTCTTGATAGGAAGGGTTTCAGGACTGGAGAGATGCCAGCAGGAGCAGCCTCCAAACTACCCAGAACTTCAGGGGGAAAAAGACAGTCTAAAACTTAAGTGGTCTCTTGGCTATCCAGTTTCCCCGCTTCCCTGGCCATCAGTCTTCCCCAGGAGCTGTGCTGCCGCTGGCTCCACCCTGATACTTCAGCCTCCTAGAGAGAAGGGAATTCAATTCATTGTCGTTGGGGTACAAATTTTTATTCCTTTTTGTGCTACTGACTGCAATACCTCTTGTTCTTTCTATTCTTTGGACAGTTGATCTTTTCTAACACTAAAAATGATACATGCTTGCATATGCATTTATAGTGCTTTAAAATAATAGCTCCAGAACAATTTGGGTTTGTAGCCTGCGTGCAGATGCATGTTAACTGCAAAAACCAGGAATCACATCAAGAGCATAACTGCCTTCAGGCTCCTAATGAAATAGCCTTAAAGTAGCCATCTGCAGATACTTTAAAAAGAAACGGCACAAAAACATTAACTCCTTAGTTGTCCTTAAAACTAGAAATCTCAAATTAAACACACATTCACATGATGCAGTAGTGATGTTTTACAAGGCAGGAGTATGATTCCCAGAGTTATGTGTTCCTTCCCTTTTTTCATTTTGAGTCTCCTTTCCTCTAAAGTCCCGATGTGATCTTAAAAATCCCAGTTGATGCTAACTCAAAAATGCCTGTGTCCCAATCCATTGCAAGGAGATCTGTTTCTTCTCTGGCCAGTTGGTATGGTTGCTTTCTTGAATATATCTCTATTAGTAAAAACTGCACAAAGGAAGAATATAGGGAGGCAAACCAGAAAATAATATTATATTCTCTGTGTGAGTCCTTTGGTGGTCTTGTGCAATATTGCCTGCGCTTTGGGCTTCCCATCTTAAAAAAGATGATCCTAAGGGTAAAATGCAGGTAAAAAGAAAAGTGACGTGGAGATCTTAAGTGCGTAACATCCATGGTATGAAGAGAGTTAAAACAGATTAGGAATCTTCAGCTTGGAAAAATGATAATATATAATTTAGTGCCTTATAAAGAAGGTGGTGATCCATTACTTCTCATATCACAGGGGTGTGGAGACACTCAAGGAACTTATTGACTGATTCAGCAGCGAGTCTAAAACAACTGCAGAGAGTTATATTTCTAAACACAAGAAGATTTTTTTGTTACAGACAAAATGTGTCAGTGGATTCAGAAGTCGTTAAGCGAGTTGATGGTAGGTAGGTCACAGCGACTATGAAAAATAATGGTCTGACTGCAGTTTCCCTCTCAGGAGTTTCTATCTCTGCTGATTCCCAGAAGATGCAAAGGTGTACCTGGGGAAAAATCACTGGGTATCTGCCGTCTCCTTGCATTCTTTTCCCTAAACATGCACTGCGGTTGCAGCCAGAGATGGAGCGTACGATTAGACAGACCCTGGGTCTGATTCACACTAGTTATTTTTATGTTCTTAATGCAGTACAGTCCTTAACATCTAACTATAAAGATCATTTTAATTGAAAATATGATTAACCAGAAAAAGCAAATGGGTGTGAGGTTTTTTTACTTTCTTGTGGGTTTTTTAAATTGTCTTAAATTCCTCCAGAAGCTGACTTAGACTTTGTTTACTTCTCTTTCCAGCCTTGCCTTAGGATATAATGTCAATGGGAAAGCAGAGCCCATTTATTATGAATGTAGGAGAACTGCAGTAGGTAATTAGAGCAAAGTGGCAGCTTTTCTAAACTGTTTTTTTGGCTGGAGGATTTAGATGAAAGAAAAAGTGATTCAACACGACTTCATATGATTTGTATGAAGTTACCTGAAGTTTGAATGAAAGTTTCAATTAAATGTATTTTGTTTCTAAAAATAAAAATAAAGGAAAGGTAATTTTGCGTGTTTCAGTAGCAGAAAGAATAGCTTCAGGTAGGTTTTTTTAATAGTATAATCAAAAATAAAATGATGTTATATGTAAATCCTAACACCGGGGTGACGGTAACAACCTTGAGAATCAATGTATATCTTTTACTGAATGTATATTTAAATGCAAAAACTGCTTGAAACGGATTCTTTTCCAGAAAAGGTTTTGTGGCCATGTTTTCACTCTGGTAATTTTTCTATGAGAGAATGAACTTTGCCTTGTTAAAGAAATGGCATTGCTTTAAAGAAAGACCAAAAAACCCTGCAGGGTTAGGGAACGTTCAGCTCATCGCTGCCCGTGATACAGCTCCCTTGTACGCAGCAGAAGGAGGATACAGCTGCATTCAGAGGGCAGTTCTGAGCCCCAGAATTAGACAACGGTGTCTGCCCTGGGTGCTCCACATCTTCTCCTGGCACATCTGGTTACACACTGGCGCTCGCTGGGTATCGTGGTCTTCTCAGGACATCTCCATCTTGGTCTGCTGCTTAAAGAAAACAACCCACCCCCTCAATCTCATCTAAAACTGAAAAGGAAGTGCTTAGATTTACTTTTGTAATCTCTTCTGCATTTCAGTTAGTTTGTTGGGTTTTTTATCTCAAGTAAGCCCTTTTGCAAGAGTCTTAAGATAAGCTGTCCAGAGAAATACTTATTTCTGAATAAATCTTCATCGAAACTTTTATTTTTAATCTTCTTGACCACACCTCATTTTCCCAAAAAACAAGTATTATTAAATTGTTAAAACAGCTTTACCAAATCAAAGTTTACGGATTGTTATTACCTGGCCACGCATTCTTCAAACTGTACATGGTTGGTGCAATAATATAATTAAGTTTATGATGGATGATGAAATTTGTGAAAGTATTTCTTCAGTTGGCTGGTTGTTGGCAGTGGATGGTCTATGTTGATTCCACTGTGTGGTTACTGTGTTTATATTCATTGTGTTTATTTTCTTTCCTTTAGTGCATGGTTCTTCTCTGTCTTTGGTGTCCAGTACGTCATCTATTTATTCGACGGTGAGTATAACGACATGAACAATTTGGGTTTACTAATCAAAATTATTGAATTGACTGGTCTTACTGTGCTAATTATTTTTGCCCAAAAAAAGCACTTTTCATTTGATTGTGTTCTGGATGCTAGCTATGAAAGAAATGTTTACGTTCATAAGGATGTCTGTGGGTATTTAGCAGTATCCTCATTAAACACAGACGTTAATGGCCTAAAAGCAGCAATTTATTTTTTGAGTCAGTATTTTACAGCTATGCTAAATAAGTTTTGCTACAAAGGACCTCAGTAGCTCTGAGGAGATTTTAACTTCATTGCCTAAAGCACCCCAAAATTTGCTGAATAAAGTCATTCCAGCCTTGTATTAATGATTTCTTACTAAAGACGTTTGAGTAAGTTTTTTAATGCACAGATTTTAATAATTCTAAAGAAGCCATTTGTTCACTATGCCAGTAATATTTTCTCCAAAAGTATCTACTCATTTAGGTTATCTGATCCTAAAATAAGGCTTACTGGAGTTTGAAAATACAGGGTTTTTTTCAAATGCGTGTTACATTTGCTTATTTTCTTCTAATAGTCTCATCTAGGATTTTCCATTTAAACATATACTATGGAAGACTTTGTCAGTTAAGACTATACCTGTGCTGTAACGGGGAGGTGAGGCTGCAACACACAGACCCTGTCTTACCTAGCTTTTCTCTAGCTAGTTGGAGTGTTAACTGCAGCGACCCAGGGGCACAGCAGGTTCCAGCCCTCACGAGACTGTACAGAAGTATTTGGCCCTGATGGTTAATTCCCAGTGGCTTCACTGCTGTTAATATCCAAGCTAGCCAGATTAAAGGTGGCTCATGTATTCCTGGCTCGCTATGATCACGGTTTTGGGGGTTTCTTAAAGCACAACCCTTTTAAAAAACAGTGGATAATAATTACTTCTGAAATACGTGTTAATTGAACAGGATCTTCAATTTCAAATTCTTACGCAAGTGTGATGCATCTGCACACTTACCACACATGCACAGCTGAAACAAGCCTATGTGATACAAGAGTACGTGGAAGAACTTGCTCTTAGAAGATCATGTATAACTGTCTGTGAAGTCTGTCAAGCCAGCATAGTCTTATTTAGCGTTATTTCACATACATGTTTCACTGTTAGGAAGTTACATGTGTAACATGGCCTTAAGACTTGATAATAAGTTGAAAATACCGCCTTTCATTATTGACCTTGCCTCGAGCAAGGTCCATACGAAGCCAAAACAGATAATGTCTTGGTAGGATGGAAAACAGACCTTTTCCTCTGGACTGTTGTTTATAACCATGAGAGCCACAAGGAGAGTACCCAGCAGCTGCTGTCTAAGCTTCTGGTTTCTGTGCTTGCTGCCCAGGCACGAGTGGCTCTTAATAGTGTGGTTTGATGGGTATAATTTTCACGGTGGCTGGTAGTGGACATGTTTACATAAGGACAGTGGAGCCTGTAACCTCCTACCATATACTTCTCTTTAGCTGATAACTTTGGTTAGAAACAAGCCGTAGTAGCCACGATTTTGTCATGCAGACCACAACGGGTGGTCAGTACATCCACTTTGCATCCTCAGAAAACTAGTTGTGTGTCCTCAGTTTTTCATCACCACAGTGCCTAGGCAGCACCCAAGTGGGAGTAATTTTTTTTTTTTTTCCCCCCCACATCACTTTGGAACGCAAAAACGTGATCTCCATCCCAAGGAGAGCTGAGCATGGGAGGAAGAGAATTGCCTAGGATCAGCCATGTCCTGTGACAGTCCTGGCTCCTCAGAGCCTCACGCAGTCCCTTATGCACAGAGCCAGGACTTCACCCTTCCACGGTTCAGACTCAGAGGTGCGCGGGTCGGCAGGCTGGGAAGTGGAGCCCAAATTCCTTCCTGCAGGAAGAAGTACTGTATGAGCAGCCTGTTTTCTTTTTCCTGAAGAGTAAATAAATTAGGAGATTGTCTTAGGTTGAATATGGATGTGGGAATCCAAAATAAGGAATTCACATTAGAGTTTTTGAAGCGCAAAAAAAAAGTGAAAAATTTGATAAATTTGTCAGGCTGGTTATGTTGTAATATCCTCATGTGTTTTCCTCTGTTTTTATTTTATAGCCTGAAGAGAAGTGCCAGTCAGAGGTAAGAGCACATCGTGTTTGACAGGCATAAATGTTCTGTCAAGACACTTCGCATTTCGTGTCTTGCTATTTTATTTCTCCGTATTACGGTGCAGTAAAGTGCTTTCTTAAAATATACAGATTCGCAAGCTACGAAGAGAGTTGGATGCATCCCAAGAAAAAGTGTCAGCTCTGACAACTCAGTTGACTGCCAATGTGAGTACAACTCGGAGAACAAACACTAACAGGGAATGTAATTAGTGCACCAACTACCACCCCAGTTTTTCTAAGTGACCAAAAGATTTCATGTGTCTAACACTCGGTTCACATTACCTCTGTGTTTAAAAAAATAACTACATGCTTGTGGGACCTTTACAAAAATAACATCCTCTGTCCTACTGAATTGTCTTATGCCTTTCTTTAAATACTGAGTTACAATGTTCATTTGGCTTTATAGGTATGTAAACCATCTTCAGATCTTGAGAAAATCATTGAAGACGGTGTCTTTTTTTATAAGTAGTGTCGTGTTTTGTCATTTGGGTGGGATGAGATACAGATGAAGGTTATAATCGGTAGGAATAAAAATTGGTGGAAACGTGGATTGAAATGCATTATACTTTGCTGTTGCATAAAGATGTGGGCTAATGGCATGATATGTAACAGTGGCATAAGGGGCTCTGAGAACTAATTTACAGTTACAGAGTGGACATACCTGATTTTTACCAGTGTGGGCAATACTTCTGCTTGTTTCCGCTGAGGAATTTGGTGAGTAAGTAATACAAAACACTTGGAAAAAAAAGATTCGGAAGCCAGGAGGTGTTGAGGCAACACTATGTATGACCCTGAGCAAGTTTATTTGTGTGTTCTGTGCTGTAGTCACAGATAGCAGAAATCTGCAAAACAGAAGCTTGCTAGAAAAATAAGCAATTCTAGAGTAAATAAGCTCCAGATGAATAGTCATCAAATGGGATCATACTGACATCCTGGTTTGTGGGAATGAATAAACATCGGAACACATGCTACTGAAGAGGACATTCCTGTCCATCAGCTCTCTGAATAGGTGGAATACAAAACTTGACACAGTAAAGGACAGCTTTCATCTGAGCAGTAATGCCTATCACAAGAAGGATTCAAGGGGAAATCTACTGCAGTGTTCACTGCAGGCACTTTGTCCAGCTTGCAAAATGGAAAAGGAAAACCAAGAACACAGTTAATAGAGAAGTCAAATAAAAGGGCTTTGACTGCCTGTAACCACTCAGTCACTTTCCCAAGAGGAAAAGAAAAAATTTAAAAAAATCTTCCAAAAATTAAGTCTTACGTTTGCCTTCCAAATACAGAGAGGACTGGATACATGAGTTGGTTTTCATCCAGAAGCTTCTTTTACATGTGAGAAAGCAAGAACCAGATTCTCTTGTGTACATTTTTTTTTATCATGTTGTTAAATAACCCAGCTCGTGTCCTTCAAACGAAGAATTTGTCAGCTATGCAACTCATCTAGCTCTGCCTTAGTTTTGTTGCATTCTTCTTCGTACGGTGTTCGGATTCAGCAGGCTGTTACTCAACACGGGAGTTAGTAGCCTGTCTCCAAGAGGAGTGAGTAGCACAGGCTACCGTGTGCCTGCCCCTGCTGCCGTTAATTTGCCCAAGAATTTGTGTGCGGTTACTACCACTATCTTTGCGGAGAATAGTTTTTAACATACGCTGCTGCCGTGCATTTTTGTTTGGGGGTCATTCAGTTTTTTGTTGTCATTGTTTTGGGGAGTTTTTTCCCCAAAAAAAGCTAGCATCAGTTATTTTGATAATACGCCATTTTTGCTTCATTCACTTTGCTAAAATTTGGGGGGGGTTTATTCATGCTATTTAAACTTTTTAGACTTTGACCTGCCCCTTACTTGTCCGTAAATGAGCTACAGTCTGCTGCAGAAATGTTGCTATAACTGTCTTAGTAATATATTTCACTCTCTAGCCACCTCTTTTCAGAGAACATACTCTTTTTCCATGTAAAAGGCCAGGTCTGTTCCCAAAAAAGTTAAGACTAATAAATGCTCTTTGTTAAGACACTGCTTTATGGACATGTCCTTTACACAAGATTTTTTTTAAAAAAATGCTTCTAACTTAGGCAATTTGAATTAATCTGTTTGTTTAATTTATTAATTTTTTCCTGAATTTTCCTGTATACACACTGCAGCTTTTGATGCTTCTCAGGCCATCAGGGGCAAGAATTTTGAAAAGGTTTTGCTCCAACTGGGAAGTGAAGACAACAATTTTCCATAGCTCACTGAACAGTTTGCAGGGAGGAATAATTTAAAGGTGCCTGATCTGGTTTTGAAAGATCAACTTTTTCTTAAGGTTCAGGTCAAAGAATTACGGGTTTGTATCCCATTATTAATCCATGCAGTCCCGCTTGCCCATTTATTTTTTGCTTTTGCAAAGTATTGCTGAGGATTCCTGAATATCAGTTTTGTTTTTCCCTGTTCATCCTCCCCAACAGAAACTTTGCAGTCTGTGTTTTTAAAATAAATATTTAGATTTTCAAACGTGTAGTGTGAGGGTTTAAATTACTTTTTGCTATTTTCTCACAGTCTCGGCTCTGCTTATTTTCACCGGGGCGGATGGGAATGAGAGATGCTCATCCCCGTGTTAACGTACTGCTTATGTTTGTTTTCATTGCGAGTGTGAGAACAGTTATTTAGGATAAGTCAGCCGTGTGCTGATGACGAGTAAGTCTGGAATAGCTCTGTGAAAGGTTTTGCTATTCTGTATATATTTAGGTGAGAGAATGTCCTTTTCCGCTTGGAAAGATTTTGCACAATTTTACTTGTCGTTGTGTGTATAAAATTATTTTTCATAGAGAAATACTATTTGCTATGGTTAGCGTAGATGATTATGGCTAATGAGACAAATACATATTGAACTATGCCTGTGTTCAATTGCATATGCAACTGCATATGGATATATATAGATATACATGTATATCTATAAATAGACAGATAGATATACCTGCATATCTATAAAACAATGCCGTATCATGGCACTAGAAACATAGTACCCTTTTACCGAGCTTCTTTCCATCTTCTCAGTCTACTTTTCCTTCCTTTTACTTCTCAGTCATTTTCAGTTCTTAGCTGATGTCCTTAATATAATTGACATTGGGTTCTCAGTGCTTCATGGGAAAAGAACAAAGGGTAATTGGCCAAGCACCGGGGAGTTTTGGATGATATTTAGCACGTGGACCTTAGCTGCAAGCCAGGTGCACTCAAATGTTGGAGAAGTCTTTGAGTTAGATGCAGGTATATCAGCTGATAAAGCATCTGGCAGACTGGCTACAATGCTGCAGTAGTCCTGCCTCCATCCTTACCCCTCTCTGCGGAGAAGGCATCTCTGGACTGAGCTGACTGACTTGGCTTTCAGAGTTCTCCCGTCGGGTAGCACAGTGAGAATCTCCACCTCTGTGACTTCCAGTGTCTTTTTGCCTTAAATATCCACAAGGAAAATAGTGATCTAGTTGGAGGGAAGTTTCTGCCTGGCCTTCCTCTACCTAAAAACTTGCTTTATATTTTATTTACTGTTTTCTATTTTATTTTACTTTTTAGGGTATCCTCCTAAAACTTAGAAGGGACATTTTGGGTTTGTTGGTACTCTCTGGAAGAAGATTTAAACTTTTTGTGAAAAGCTCTATGGCAAGAATTAACTACTTAACTACTTGAGGGTACCCGAAAACTATCACTAAGTAACCTTTTACGTGTTAATAATGGCCCACATAAAAAGTCAAAGATCAAGTCTGATTTCAAAAATGAACAGCAGATGTTTAGAATCTCTCTACATTTTGTGATGGGAGGTCTTTACATGTCATTGCTTGCAATAGCTTGGGGATGTGGCTAGATAACCAAGGACATCCTTCCGTGCCTTTTCGGTATCAGGAATACTTTCAGGTGACAAGGTGTATTCCCTAAAGCGTCCCTTAAAAGCCTCAGTTAACTTAATTTGTGAGATGTTTAAAAAAAAAAATTAATCTAATGTGTCTTTTTGTTTCAACAAAGTGGCAAACGGTGTTTTCCATTTATCACAAAAGCTAAGCAGCTTTAAACAACTGAGAAAAGTATATGAACTAGATTAGTTTGAGATGTGGCTCTTCAAAGGACCTTAACTCCTAGGGACCCAGAAGGTGGTTTTGTTCTCAGATGTATTCTGGATGTAGGATCGCACATTTTACAGAATAAATGAGAATTCCAAACTGGAAAAAAACCCAGCTTTGCTGCTGTGTTAGAGTATGTCTGAGGTAACTGTCCTGGCTATCGAAATCAAGGTATCAAAGAAGTGGATGTAGCAGCTGACTGAGGAGCCGCCTTCAGGAAATCTCCTACTGCTGTGCCAGGTCACAGCGTTGCTCCTACGTCTGTGTTTTCTAAAGCGTTCGGTAGCAGCTGCTGCCGAGCAGGGCATGGTTTATAGCCTAAACCCGCATCATTTCACAGTGCGCTGCTGGTAGTAGTTGTACGTGAAAGGGTTGCCATTTTCTAAAATTCTGAAACTGGGCTGTTACCTTCGACATTTCTAATTTTCCACGATTAAATTGTTCCTGGTGATTTGTTAGCAGACGTTTTCACAATGTATGCTCTGCTCATTTGACCTTTTCTAATCAGTGTAATTTTGTCCGTATCATTTACACAACAAACAATGCAACGCAGGAGGTGGTCCATTTAAATACCTGCAGAAATATTCTTGTTTTGGGGGGAGAGAACAAACTACTTCTATATGGTTTAACTTTCAGGCTCACCTGGTGGCAGCATTTGAGCAGAGCCTGGGGAACATGACGATCAGACTGCAGAGCCTGACAATGACAGCAGAACAAAAGGCAAGCTTGAAAAGTATTTGGGGAAGTCTTAACTTCTGTTTCCAGCATTGCCGCTCATGCTCCTGTAGTTGTGGGGAAGAAAAAATCACATGCAGCGTTTCCTTAGTTTCCTCAATTGTGGTGATGGAGTAAAATGTAATAAAAATTGTCTACAATACTCCCTTTCCTTACTGGGATGTTGTGACAACTGATCAGGTATAAATTGTTGCTTTGGACACAAGTCTTCAGTATTGCATGTTTTTGTAATACATTTCTTCCCAATGCATCCACACATGCGCACGTTCAAGAGAAACACCAAGAAAAATCCTTGCAAGACAGGCAACATTGGGTTTTTGGACAGTATACTTGAATATGCATTATTTCTGTATTACAGAGCATGTACATTTTTTTGTATCTTAATAACCAAGCTATTTTGCAGCCTATTGAGGGTGTGCTTCCCCAGGTATACCAAACCTCATTTTCATCTCCTTGTACATATACATTCCATAAATTCTCTATCAACTACCAGTGCTCAGATTGAAGTGTGGCTTCTTTGGAGCAGGTAGATACCATCTGCGTTTTCCAACGTATCACCATTTTTTTTTTCTTATTCAAGGACTCAGAACTGAACGAGTTAAGGAAGACTATTGAACTACTGAAGAAGCAAAATGCTGCTGCCCAGGCTGCCATCAATGGAGTCATAAACACACCTGAGCTCAACTGCAAAGGTGAGAAGCAAGCACTACATCTAGCAACTGTGCGGTGCTCATGGGACTTTAGACCTCTTGGTAATATCTGATGTAACCATCAGAGATCAGTTTTGTTTCATGACTGTGCTCTCGTTACTTGTTTTGGTATCGTGGGGATTTGAAATGAGTACCTGTGTAAATAGTGCCATCAGTTCTGCAGAAGTAAATGGACGTGTTAGACACGAGAAGGCATTTTAACAAAGCTTTTCCACCTTCAGTGTGAGCTCACTGAATTTACTACAAGCATTTAGTAATTCACCCACCTAGACACTGATGTGAAGCAGCAGAGAGCAGAGATCCCCATTTCAGAGCTGTCAGGCACTTGGCTTTATTTTCTTCGGTGTTTTCAGTAATTTCCAATATAAAGTCTGAATGCAGTCCTGTCTTACCTCACTTCTCTTACTTATCCCAGTAATTTACACTTATATCAAACTTCTTACATAATTTTGACGCCGCCTCCATTCACATTCAGGACCCGGAGCTGCTCAACCCACAGACCTGCGGATCCGAAGGCAGCACTCTTCGGATAGCGTCTCCAGTATTAACAGTGCTACCAGTCACTCCAGTGTGGGAAGCAACATAGAGAGTGATTCAAAGAAAAAGAAGAGGAAGAACTGGGTGAGTGTATTTTAACAGATTGCGTGAGGTTTATATAAAATTGTCAGAACACGCACGGTGAAATCTAGCCACTCAGCTCCTCCTTCCTCCCCTCATGCAGCAGGTCAGCACAAGGACTATGCACTGTTTAAATCCTGTGTAAACTCTCTTTTGAAGGCTTAATTGAGTCGTAAGTGATGTATATGCTTGTGTTGACTCTGCCTAGGATTGAATTCTAGCTTAACAGCCAAAAAGCCGGTCTTAAATTAGAAATAGCTGTCAAAGATCAATTCTGGCTAAAATTAATATGATGTCCAACCCCTTAGGGAAAACTCGACGTCTGTCATTAAAGTAAAACAAACCTACAATGAGAGATCATTCTTACTTTTTTTTTTCTTTTTGGCTCGTAGGGCTTTTTTTTAATTGAACATGTTAAATGCTTTAAGAACTCTGTTTTGAACATTACCTTGGAGTTCTACAACAAAAAATACCAATTTTTAAAAATTTATTATGATGGACATTTATTTTGCAAGATTTTGCAATACTTACCTGTCATTTCCCATTTTTCCTTCTTTGCTCATCATGTACTGTGTACAAGGTACCCTGTACTGGAGGAAAGGTACATTATATTAAACTCCATTTTCAATTAGACCATAACTGCCTTAGTGACCTAGTCTGATTGTAGTTTGGACTAAAGTCCCTAGATCCTTTATTGTAGCCAGTAAAGCAATCCACCCTTTCCTTCCCGCTGAATTTAAATCTCCCTGGATCTTTTGAGTGTACAGACAAATCTGTATAGATACAAAATGTGGTTTGAGCTGGTAAAAGCTTGATTTGTATTTGCACAATAGCCTCTCAGAAATGTTTATGAAACTCCTGAACTGTAAGAAAAAAACTTCCTGAGCAGGTCCTTGTTTTATTTCTCTCTTATCTCGGTGGTTTCATTTTGATATCTTGCCAGCTCCTTCATTACAGCAGCATTTCCACTCTGCCCCTTAAAGAATTGGTTGAATGGAAACAACGTCATCTCCAAATCCTTCTTGTGCTGGGTTATACCTTAGTTATAGACAAAGTAAATTGCTGTAACTTCTAAATAGCTAGCGATTCTTAATTTGTGACACAAACCTTTTGTAATCATTAAGCCTTAGTTAAGATAAACGCTTTTTAAATTTTTGCTTTAGCCTCTATTCTTTGTTATTGTAACCTAGTAGATATTATCCTACATCAGCCTACACTTCTCATTCATCTGATGACTATTTTTAAAGAAGGTTAAGGAAACATCTCCTTATTATAAAGAGAAATAAATAAAGTTTTCATGAAGTAGAAGAAACAGGACAGTGTTTTTATCTTGTTATTAAAAATGAGTACATCATTGCTGTAAAATAAAGATTGGAAATTAAATCACTAAGTTACTGAGAAAAATACATAAGTTGAGTCTGATTCACACATTGTTTATTCCACAAATACTGAGGAAGTTCTCAGCCGAGACCTTTTTGTTATATGTAGAAACAACGCAGCTGTCCATTCAGAGCTGAAACACCAGATTTTCAACATTTCTCACTTGTAGGAGTCTTTGCCTAGTTTAAAAATAACTTTCAGCTCATATTAAGCCAGCCTGTTTACAACATGTAATTTGCGATAGCGTTCAACGGTATTCATAGAGTATCCTGAGTTGGAAGGGGACCCATGAGGATCAAGTGCAAACCCTGACTCCGCAAAGGGCAACCTAAAAGTTAAACCATCTATCCAAAAGCGTTGTCCAAATGCTTCTTGAACACTGTTGAACTGTAACTTGGGGATAACATCCGTTTAATCACATGTATATTCATTCTTTCTGTTGTTTGGAAATTGACAGTCACATTAAAAAAGGTCATTTTAGCTGCAGGTAGGTAGAAAAGATTCAGTCTTTTCATCTCGTGAAATGCCTGTTCCTGCAAGGAAAAACACAATATTAACTTGGCTGTTAGCCAAAGCATTCTGTCTGAGCTAAGGAGAAAATAGAATTCAAATAGTTAAGAGATTTGGGTCTGGTGTCTCCCTCAAGTAATGCAAAAAATGACCGTATGTTGTTTGAAACACCTGGTTTTGGAAAATAGAGGGTTCCAGTTTTAAAGTAACAGTTGGTCTTTGTTGATTATTGGTCATGTTTGTCTTAGAAATCCAAAGCTTCCCTTATCACTGGCTTTATCTGTTAAAACATGTCTTTTTTCCTTCCCCCACTTCCTTTTGCTTGCGCTTCTTCCGGCAGGTCAATGAGGTAAGGAAGACCTACTTTACACTATGAGATACAAAGCTAACCATCCATTTACATCACTAACCATTTCAGCATCATTAACCTTGTCTGAGCCACGTTACGTTATAGCTGCAAGTTGTTACAACATCGCTGTAAAGCTTGTTGCACTGAACAGAATTTGCTATAAAACAGTTACCTTAAAAATAGGAAGCATTGATATCCAGTCCTATTGACCTTATTAATCTCATAAAATAGTTACGGGAAAGAAGCTTTTTTTATTCTTTTTTACCCGTATTAAAGTATATGTGAGTATGGCTGTATCATTTGGAGTATTTGCATGTTAGAGTTTTTACTCTGTGGCTTTTTTTGCCTGGTTTCGTTCTTAATGATGTGCCTACTGTTGTGGTCTTGTTTTTGCAGTTACGCAGCTCCTTTAAGCAAGCTTTCGGTAAAAAGAAATCTCCCAAGTCAGCATCTTCTCATTCAGATATTGAGGAGATGACTGATTCTTCGTTGCCTTCTTCACCAAAGCTACCACACCATAACTCCACCGTTTCAACACCATTGCTGAGAGCTTCCCATTCCAATTCTCTGTAAGTGATTTTTTAATTTTTAAATAGAAAATAATAGAAAATGGAGTGGAAGGCACCTTGCTGCACTGGTAGAGGAAAGGAGAAATAGCAAGCTTTGCAGAGATCCAGTGTTTTCCATGCTAGCTTTACAGGACATCTCTAGGCCACTTTACAGAAGCAAGCAGAGGCAAAACGTACCCTACACCATCCTGTCCCCTTTGGTTCCTCTGTCTAAGAATCTGCACATCTGTGTAAGCACTACAAGAGTCTGACAGCTGTTCAGTTACATGCTAAAACCAGCTCTTCGCCATGAGGCCACAGCAGAAGACACAGTGGGCCAGACAGGATTGTCCTGGTAGACCAGGGCTGGTCTGTTGCCACTGATCAGTCCTACTCCCAAGCATCGCTTACATTATCTCCCAGAGGGGGGCTGTGTTTTGCTAAGCGTTTTGGGTAAAATCCTTAACCCTGTCATACTGGCAAAAGAATGGGCAAAGATCACACCTTCAACTACTGCCTATTTTGAATGTTCTGAAGTCGAAGGAGGTTACAGGCAGAGGACAGAAAAGTTGAATTTATATCTTCAGGGAATTAAAGATATATAAGCTGACTCCCAAGCCGGTACCTTTGCATTAGTGTCCAGGAAGCCAAAATCATTGCATCGTTACTGTAGTATAATTTAATATTTCATTGGGGTGCTCTCTCAGCAAAACATACTGAGTATGAAGAGTATTTATAACCAGGGTGACCTTGGAGTGCAGAATTAATTGGATCTCTTGCTGTTAATGAAACAGGCCAGGCCAAGTCTGGGATTTTGTTTTCTCTGTTGGCTAAAGACAGCCCATATTGTACTAATCCGCAATGATGAGTTCCCAATTAAGTTGACAAATTCAGATAAAGGTAAGGATTTACTGGAAATCACACAGCATGGTTTAGCGATACAGCTGAACTCATCTAATGGCTTGTGCCTGATGAATGGAGATGATCCGCTCCTCGTTTCTTCTGCACCTCCCCAGCCACCAGTGCCTGGTCCTTCCCTTGCGCTGGCTCTGCTACTTCTTGGACAACTCCACTGAGCCAACGCAACTTGCTAAATTATGTGAAAAGTAATTTGACAGAAACGTGAACAGTGTTTTCCCCAGGTTGCTGGCTTGGCTCAGCTCAGAGGTCTGATCAGACTGATGAGTGCTAGAGCTGGCATAAGCACGGGGGCGTGACAGCAGCACAGCCGGGAGCAGGCTGGGGAAGAGGAGTGAGAAACAAATGTGTCCTTTGGGTAGTAGCAAGCTATTGTATAGGCTCATCTATAGGACCAAACCATACCCTTCTGCTTGGGTGTGTATGAGAATGAGATGTAGACTTTAAAGTCAGGACTTCTGCTCTGCTGCTTAACTCATTTTATGCTCGTGGGAAGGTCACAGGCAATCTTGATGCTTCATTTTGGCCACCTGTGAAATAAAGTTAAGTCATTGCGTTACCACACTGTTTTGAGCCTAAACTCACATTTTGGAATGTGCTTGGAAAACTTTGTAAAACAGATTTTCTGTTAATTCTATCAGTAGCTTCGTCACTTGAGTAGGATAAATAAATACAGAAAGTTGTAAGAGGCAGTATTGTGAAACTTGATTACCAGACGGCCTTACGACGTTGTAGATGCCATGCAAAGCTTCCAGCCTGATTTCAGGTCAAATGCATTTGAGTGAGTACCCAAACTCAAAGTTTTGCCCATCACTTGCTTTCACATGAAGAGGTGAAAACAATAGCAATAGTTTCCAGCTGTGTAATAATGATGAACTGTTAGTAGCACAAGATAATCCCCCGTGAATTTTTTTTAGAGCTTCTCCAGTCTCTTGAGCCTAACTTGGTGGGTTTCTGGTGACTACAGCAAATTGTGCTTTAGAAATCTAAGGCCAGAAAATTGTCAAATGATGATCCCGTCTATCGTCAGTCAAAATGCTATGTGCATGCGTCTCATCTTGACGTGAAAGCCAAAAGGCTAAACAGGAGAAAAGAGTAAATATGCAAACTGAGGGAAGGCTAGAGCACAGGTAAAACTTGTGTATTTTGGCTTATTGGCTTTTTCGTGGGGAAAACATCTCTCATTAACCTGATTTAGGGAGAAACATTTTAAATGAAATCTCCCTCAAAGCATGCAGCTGCGTAGTTGATCTTTATATAGATACACTTATGAATGTGCTGAACTGTTACTCGCCCAGAATCTTTTTTTGTGGGAGGAGGGAAGAAAAACGCCACCAAAAACTTTTTAAGCATGAGTGCTTTAAAGCGAGCAGGAATTTATCACGCTTCAATAGGTGTAGAGTTCTAAAGCCCTCCAGAACAGTTCAGGGGAACCCAGCTGTGCACACCTGGTGAGCTTTAAATCTGTCTGTAAACTCATCAATCTCCAACCAACTGCTGTTACTGCCTGCACCCCCTTAATTTATTTAGATTTTGGCTTTAGAAGTTTTCCTTTATGGCAACTGCCATGAAAAAAATGAAGACTATCCAATAGTAGGTGACTTCCAGAATTCTGTTTCAGATGCTGATTAAAGAAAAGTAACCCTCAGACATATTTATTTCACTGGTCTTTAATGTTTCCATGACCTATTTATTACCTGATTTGTGGTATCACTAATCCAGTAAGCCAAAACTGTTGCCTGCTTCCTGCAGAACAAAAGGGTTTTTTTCCTCCTTTACTAATAAACGATGGAGTAGCACTATCTGAAGAGTAACAAATGGTCTCGTTCAATGCCTATTTTTCAATCTTCTCCAGTATTTCTGAATGCACTGACAGTGAAGCTGAAACGGTCATGCAGTTACGAAATGAGCTAAGAGACAAGGAGATGAAGTTGACTGATATTCGTCTAGAAGCCCTTAGCTCCGCTCATCAGCTTGACCAGCTTCGGGAGGCGATGAACAGAATGCAGGTAAGAAATAACAACCCCAATTACTGCAGTCTATGTTGATGTGTTAAAGATTGGCCAACCTGCCACACAGGAAAGATCTGAAAGAAGGTAAATTTGAAGTTTTTGAATGCTTACTAAAAGTTATGTCTAGCTTTGTGCCAGCGTTAAACCTTGTACCTTCATTAAAAGTCAACTTGAACACATGAATTCTGCTGCCCTCAACGCTGCAGCTGTAACTGGTTCAACCCTAGAAACCAATGGGGAGATCATTTTGTTGACCGTCAGCAACCTCTTAAAATGTTCCCATGCGCTCTGCCTTAAAGTAGCTGCATTTCAGTGTTTAGTGAGTTCCCACATATTTATGTTTTCTAGGATACTTTGAAAAGTTTCATGGAGGGGATGTAATAATTAAAATCATTCATTTATTAAAATTAAAATATTATGAAAATGGCATTTCTGCTAAAGTAGCATTTATTATTCAGTTACTTATGTTGCTCTCTTTTAAGTGTACGTCTTCACTGTGCCTTCTAACTCCTGACTTGTCTTTTCAAGAGTGAGATTGAAAAATTAAAAGCAGAAAATGATCGGCTGAAATCTGAAAACCACGGCAGCTGTAGCAGGGCTCAGTCTCAGGTTTCCATTTCATCCTCTCCAAGACATTCAGTGGGTCTCTCTCAACACAGTTTGAACCTCACGGAGTCAACCAGTCTCGGTGAGTTTAATGAGAAAGGCGGTGGGCAGGTTTTATCCTGCACTTGGAAGATTTGGTTTGGTTAGCCATGGAAAAATGAAAGCATGAAAATTATTAACAGTTGAGGTGTGGAAATATGTCAGGAGCTGGCATAAAGCCTTCTTTTAAAATGTCGTCATAGGTCTGCTACGCCCTAGATCAGAGTTGTCCAATTATGACCTCAGCTGTGAAGAGTCATGTTTAAAGCCATTTAATGATGCACATTTGCCAGGGGATATATCATAGGAAGGAAAATACAGAGTAACTGACTAGTAATTTTCAATTGCCTTCACTTTTTAAGAGTGATACTGATATTTGGTAGAGAAGTCAGTAAACCTGGTTCTTACATTTTACCTCTGGGCATGTGAAGCCCAGATGTGTTGCGTTTGACTACAATAGACGTGTTGGCGTAAACCAGAATAGTCTTCAGTGTTATTAAGATACAGCTGTGAAGCTGTTGATGTTTTCTGTTCACAGACATGCTGTTAGATGACACTGGAGATGGCTCTGCCCGGAAAGAAGGAGGCAGGCACGTCAAAATAGTTGTCAACTTTCAGGATGAGATGAAATGGAAGGAGGTGAGTTATGTTTCATCCCCAGCTTTGAAATATATGTGACTTTGGAATGGGGCAGAGAATTCAAATCCAGTTTGGTTTGGAGGCTTTTATTTGCAAAAGATTTTTTAGAATTTTCTCTGCAGAATAGTTCATTGGTGTATCACTAGTGATAGCCAAGGCACTAAGCCCCCACTTCCTTGGAACTGCTGAGAGCCAACGCCGCCAGTTCAGGTTGTCTCATGGACTCACCTGCAATAGCTTTTTATTTTACAGTTTCTTGTTGGTGCCATCAGCACTGGCCATGAAGCATGTCGGTAACACAGGATTGCTAGACTAGACCCATGTGTCAGCGGTATAGGTGATAACGTTACAATTTAACCCTTTCAGTAGTATCTCTGAAAACCAGGCCACTCTTTCGGCGTCAAGGAGGTTAGCAGACTAGTCTGCACCTTTCGATAGCATCTGTTTAAGACTGATATGTTAAAAGCTGCACAAAGCTCTTGGGCCTTTCTGTTAAACTTCAATAAAAATTTAACTAACAATGGAAACGATCCAGTGTGTAGATAGAAGGTGCACCGAAATGCTATAAGCACCGATATTCCGCAAGAACTTAATGGATCCAAACTGGGAGATCTTACCGTTCTAGTTCAAGTTGTCCTCTCTGGTACAAGTTTCCCATTTTGAATGACATCTTTCAGATGTTCTCTATTCTTGATTGAAAGAATCCTAAATACCGGAATAAATTTCAGATGTAAAATTGCAACGCACCTCATGTGGAATGCATGCATGAATGTACTACACAATCTTTACCAAGCACTGACCTTGCTATCTCACGTTATGAGTACCTGTAAAAGTGTATTTAAGAAATAGCTTGACGTCTTTTGTAAGGGGGGGGACAAAAATGTGAGTAATCAGAAATAAAGTTGACTCAGCAGATCTTTCCATTAAATACCAATTTTGCATTAATAAATTATAGCCCTGGATAAGCAAATTAACAGTAAAGCTATATGCCTAATTCTGTTGGACTCCACTGTGCTCACAGTCAGTAAAGTTACCACGTGGAAATGATTCCTTACGTTTTAGTTGAAGTCTTATGATAGAAATTAGTTTTTCTTCGATTAATGTTTCGCAGTGAGTGCAGCTATAGAAGAGTAGAAAAATGAGGTGCGTTATGGTTTTTTTAATCCGCCTTAGAAATCAGAAACAAAATTATCAACTGAAGTGCTGGGATATACCAAATATAACACACAAGTTGTTATATATACACCAATATAACTATATATACATATAACAATGTATAATTTCTATATATATATATTTAGATTTCTATATCCATGGCAGCATTTCTCGAAGTAAATAGGTTAAACCTTGCAAATGCAACATATTTGATTGTGAAGTCACGGGAAAATGAACATGCTGTGAACTTTTCTGCCTAGAATTTTCCTAAGAGTCTTTCTGTCTTTTTGCTAAGTTATATATACACCAATATAACTATATATACATATAACAATGTATAATTTCTATATATATATATTTAGATTTCTATATCCATGGCAGCATTTCTAGAAGTAAATAGGTTAAACCTTGCAAATGCAACATATTTGATTGTGAAGTCACGAAAAAATGAACATGCTGTGAACTTTTCTGCCTAGAATTTTCCTAAGAGTCTTTCTGTCTTTTCTAAGCTGTAATCCTCTCAGAGGTTTTTCAGTTGTTCATGGATTGATTAATAAATACCATTTACTTAACATCAGTACCACTTAAGTGTCCTTTAGTTTTGTGATTCCAACACTGTAGAAAATGCTCAGTAGAAAAGAAAGATTTCATATAGAGTGGTAAAGATGCCCTATAATTAAAAAAAAAATTAAGGAAGAAAGAGGGGGGGGGGGGGGGGGGGGGGGAAGCCAGCATTTTAATTACATTAAACAGACTTGTCTGATACAGTTAGGATTTATTTATTAACTTAAATTCACATTTCTATGCCTTTAGGATTCGAGGCCTCGCACCTTCCTCATAGGCTGCATCGGAGTCAGTGGCAAGACCAAATGGGACGTTCTGGATGGGGTTGTAAGACGATTGTTTAAGGTTAGTGAGTACAGTTTGCTGTGTGCTTGAATTCTCCTGTTGGATTTTGATGGTACCAAGCAATATTTAACTTGCTGTGATTATTACTGTTACAGCATAGAACAAAGTCACAGAGATTTCAGTGCTGCCTAACGTAACTTGCTGTTATTATTACTGTTATAGCATAGAACAAAGTCACAGGGATTTCAGTGCTGCCTAACGTTTCGTGTCCCTTTTTCACCCTAGGAGTATATCATTCACGTGGATCCCGTGAGCCAGCTGGGACTGAATTCAGACAGCGTTCTGGGCTACAGCATTGGAGAAATCAAACGCACTAACAGTGCAGAGACACCTGAGCTGTTGCCCTGTGGCTATCTCGTTGGAGAAAACAACACTATTTCGGTTACCGTCAAAGGTAGTTACGCTTGACCTGTCTGTTGTATTTCTCAGTAATTACAGTTTTATCAAAGCTTGCTGTGTCAAGAAACTCAGAGGAGTAGAAACTTTTTATTGTTTCTTTTTCCCCGTCTCTGACTTTTATTTACTGGTCCTTCTATTTTCATTTGATAAAGACAGCACTTAGAGTATGCTAATTCTATAAATTCAGCAAATTTTCACCCTGTAACGGTAGGAATAATTACACACACAGCAGTTTTCTCCACGTACCTTGAACTGATGCCTGGAGTTGTCCTGTAGAAGACATCGCAACACAAGGGACATAGTGGAGTTGTTTGAGCAGCAGAGTACCTTCCAAATGAATAAAGCCTCAGAATTTCATTACCTCTTTATAACAGCTATAGTTGTTATTTCCTTCATGCAGAGTAAAAAAATTCTTGATTTAACTTGCTTGATTGGTCTCACTGAAGAGTCCCTCCTTAGACACCAGTAAGGAGGGATCCCAGAATTCATGGGACACCTTAAAATCTGGATTTTTTCAAAACGTATGGTTTTCAGAATTCTCATCGATTTCATTGTATCATACTGATAAGAATTTAGTGCTTATATTTCTCATATGGTTTCTCATTTGGTTTCTCAGGGAACCATTTTTATATGAAAACTATACTATGGAACTAGATTGGAGGGAAAAAATCCTCAACCGCTGCATTTTGAATGTACCTCAGTTTGCTCAAAGCTAGACCAGTGAAATCTCGAGCATAGATCTGCATACAGACGGTAGAGTATTTGAGAGCATTGCCAAGCACTCTGCAGCTCAACTTTGAAATTTGACTGTGGCATTTGACTGAAAGTAGTTTGATTTTTGAATATTGCTGTAAAAAATCAATTGCCTTGGATAGCAAATCAGTGGGCAGGAGGATAAAATATAAGCCATGAAAGATCTCAATTTACTGAGGCTTGATGTGAACCCAGGGTATTCTACTTACTTAGAATACATTGCCGATAGTAAATCCCGACTGAAATGTTGCTTAAGGTCTAGCCGTATCTGTAAAGCTGCAATCTGATTTTATATTTAACTTGCATTGGCTTGACTTGTACTTTGAAGGTTCATATGTGATAACAGTTTTCAATAACACAGAAATGTATTTAATCAATTTATGGAAAATCACTTACATATACCTTTGAGATATAAAGCTGCCTATATAAATATTTAATATTCCAAATAACCATTGAGGTGCAAACATTTCTGTGTGTGATCTGCCAACTTCCCTTTCTGCTGTTTATTTTGAAGCACTGTGTATTTTCCCCGAGCCAGTTCTGCCTAAAGTGACTGCTGACATTGCGTAAATGCTTATCAGTAGGAGTTTTATGTTAGAAGAGATAACTATCAGCATACAGAGAAGGAGTTTAATTACAAGCATTTGGGAAAGTAGGGGGAGTTGATGATAGCTGGGGTTTTTGTGTCTAGTGATTCAAAAGTAAACCGGTAAATTCTGGATGAATGCGTACGGTACATGGCGAAATACTGCAAAATGGATGGTTTGTGTGTGAAAAATGTGGCCTGGAATTATTTGTATGGCACCTTTCGTAGGGCCTTGGACACTGTAGGATGCAGCTGAGTACTCTGAACACTGGGAGAGCTGAAGGAGGATCCAGGCTAAGCCCATAGGTCACTTCTGCACTTGTTTTACCAGCTTTATATGTGCTCCTCGACCACGGGGGATACCAGAGTGGGGAAGGGATTTATATCTGAATTGAGAAACAGCTTGGTCAGGTCAGATCTAAATCTGTTGTTTCTGTTATTTTGGGGTTTTCTTCTACTATCACTGGGCCCAGGTACACTCACAAGATCACATTTTTCAGTTGTACGGTTTGACTATCTAGTCATTTCAAATAATCTTGATTTGTTCAAACTCCACTAACGGGATTGCTTTGCAGCACTACAACTACAGTACTACAACTACATACAACTAAGTTGTAATTACCTAAAAATGCAGGTCGTTTGGATAAAAATTGGGAATCCCTCAAATGAGGTATCTTTTCCTGTTGCAGGTATCTGTGAGAACAGTTTGGACGGTCTGGTGTTTGAATCGTTGATCCCAAAGCCTATACTGCAGCGTTATGTCTCTCTCCTGATGGAACATAGACGGATTATCTTATCTGGCCCCAGTGGCACTGGTAAAACATACCTAGCAAACCGTCTGTCTGAGTATATGGTCCTTAGAGAGGGCAGGGAGTTGGCCGATGGCATTATTGCAACCTTCAATGTGGACCATAAATCCAGTAAGGTGAGGAAACAGAAATCATCCTTGCACAATGAATGCTACCATATATGAAAAATGAGAGACTCCTCCTTTATTAACCCATCAAAAGCTGATTTTAAACTTATGTTTCTTTTTAAAGCGTTACGTTAATCCTGAAGGGAGTAATATTTAATATTTTCAGAGCTGCAGATTCACCTGATTATAGCCTGAAATAGCAGGCTTCCAGGTGTATATTTAAACCCTTAAAGGTGTCATGATTTTCAAGTGGTTAGGAGCCTGAGAATTGCTGAGAAAGTGAAACACCTGCATAAAATTCCCAGCGACTTAAGCAGTCCCTATTGCATGTGGGCATTTTCCCAAAAACCCTCAAATGCATCTCTAGGCTGTCAAGAGTTTCTGCAGCTGCAAATATCAGCAGTTCTAATCTGCATATACTGGGTTTGGAGTGACTGTTGTCCAGACACATTCCTGCGCCGGTAAGGCATGTCTCTGCTTTTTTATGTGCTGCTGGTTTTGCTGAATATACCTCCAGTGAACGTCTAGATTAAAGAAGGGGAAGAAAAAAAAAAAAGCTGTATATTTGATGGCCTTAGGCACATTTTCCTCTGGAGGAAAGGGATGGTTGAAATTGTGGTTGTAGGCCACTGGTATAATTTGAGACATGCTGTGGAATAAATGCTTTAAAGCTGCTGAGAGCGTTTCAACCACACCCAGTCACCTGGCAGCAGCCCCGCAAGCTCATTCTTCTTTCACGGCGTTACTGAAGGCATCCGAATTTGGCCTCTGCCGAGGGGTGCTTTATTCCAGGTTAGTTTTATTGGCTGTATTTTGATAGACACACAGTTGCAAGCAGATACAACAAACCTAGCTGGGATGCAAGGTTTGGTTTGGTGTATGGAGAGTTGAACAAGTTCCTGAAAAGAGAGAAAAATACATTTCAGACCTCTGAGTGTCAGATTAGGACAGCATGAATGAAAAAACACAAACCAAACAAGAACATCTTACCCCGCTTTAGGCCCTTACCTCACACAGGATTTCTGATACAGTCTTTGAATCTTCAGCATAACCTACAAAAGAGAAAGAAACCCATATTCTTCCGTTTTCTCATGGAAAATGTGTGCATTTGTAAGATGGCAGGCTCTTTTGCTTTAGATTTCATGACAACGCTAGTAGCTTATTTATCTTAACTGGATTTTCAAGGAATATGATGAAAACTTTTTTTTTTTTTGTCCTTTTTCTTTTCTTTATATATGCTTTGCAGGAACTCCGCCAATACCTGTCCAACCTAGCAGACCAGTGTAACAGTGAAAATAACGCTGTGGATATGCCTCTTGTAATCATTTTGGATAATTTGCATCATGTTAGCTCCCTAGGAGAGATCTTTAATGGACTTCTAAACTGCAAGTACCACAAATGGTAAAGAAATAATATCGGAACACATTCCAAATTTCAATACTGCCGTCAGACCACTGCCGTTGCAAAATGTGATCGCAAAACCAAACTCTAGATTAATTTGGTAAAGTGGACTGAGATGGCCAGGCCGTCCATATTATGGACAGCACTTCAGAGGTTTTTTACTTCATAAAATGATCAATTCCTCTGAAATCAGTAATAAAAAAGTAGTAGAGGCTTCGGGTAATTTGCATTCACTTCATGCAGTAGATCTTCAATACAAAAACCCCAGTTTTAGTGAAAGTTCCTGCTTTGAGATTTCTGTTTTGTTTTCAGAATTTGATGTTCCCAGAAGTCAGATTCTCAGTAGAGAATTTGGTTATAAGTAACTACAAAACCCTTCTTTGACAAAAGAGGTTTGAATAACCTTGTTTAATGTTGAGATCTTACTAAAAAGTTGTTTTTCAAAATTTACAAGTATGATTTGCTTGATTTTTATTTTTTATTTTTTTTAATAGTCCATATATTATTGGCACAATGAACCAAGCCACCTCCTCAACACCTAATCTTCAGCTTCACCATAATTTCAGGTACTGTTTATTCATGTTTTTTATTTATGTTTGTGGGCTGGCAAAGGAGTAATGGCTACTGAGTCATCTGAAATTGTTCTTATCAGCTGAAATAGCAAACTGAGAGAGAAATACCATTCCCTACTAGTTGCTGCCCTAACATGTCCAGCTTTGTTATGATGCTGTTACTAAAGTGTTATGAACTGTGGTTCATAAAACCTTTCCTTTTCAGAGGATTGTTAAGATATTTGATCCTCTAACAAATTTTATATAAGATAATAGGCAAAGCAGATACTGAATGAGAAATAAGCTGAAACAATGCACAGTACAAATTGTTTCATCTAGTGAATGCATCGTTCCAAAATAATTTTTGCTAAGAAACGTATGTGACTGGGGTAACCCATTTTGACCATGATAATCATCTAGAAATAATAAAAGAAATTTAGCCCAGGTATGTTCAGTAGTATGAAAGAGAAATAATGGACATTTCTGCCATTCTGCCTTAGATGGGTGCTATGTGCTAACCACACTGAGCCGGTCAAAGGCTTTCTTGGCCGTTTCTTGAGAAGAAAACTAATTGAAACAGAGATCAGTGGCAGGATGAGAAATGCAGAGCTGGTTAAAATTATTGATTGGATTCCCAAGGTCTGGCAACATCTGAACAAATTCTTGGAGGCTCACAGCTCCTCTGATGTTACTATTGGTAAGTGCTCTGCCCATATGCCCAGGCATGTATAAATGTATGTATTTTATTCCCTTGTGTATCGGGTGCATCCTTGTACGTTTCCTTGTGCTATATCAGGTAAAAAAGGTTTCTTTAAAACCCTACTTTTAGGTGGCAGCGTACTCTGAGGCAAACTGTACGACAAGTTTCTAAACTTTTTTTTTTTTACTTTTTCTAAGAAAAAAGGACTTCTTTCTAAGTCCTGGATACAAACTGTGTTATGAAATTTGGTTACTTGCTCTCACCTTGAAGGCTATAGTTTTTCAAGTCAATTCAGAGGATTTTTGAGCTCTCGGGAAGAGCAATTCACCAGGTAGCTACTTACGTTCTCTCATCCTTGGCTGCTTTCTCCAGAGAACTGGAAGTTGTTTGATCCTGGAAAAAAGGACTTCTTTCTAAGTCCTGGATACAAACTGTGTTATGAAATTTGGTTACTTGCTCTCACCTTGAAGGCTATAGTTTTTCAAGTCAATTCAGAGGATTTTTGAGCTCTCGGGAAGAGCAATTCACCAGGTAGCTACTTACGTTCTCTCATCCTTGGCTGCTTTCTCCAGAGAACGGGAAGTTGTTTGATCCTATTTTGAGGCGTATCATGATCATGATTTGAGTGTAATACCTGAATTTCCCTTTCCAGGTCCACGGCTCTTCCTCTCCTGTCCGATAGATGTAGATGGTTCTAGAGTTTGGTTTACTGACCTGTGGAACTACTCCATCATCCCCTATCTTCTGGAGGCAGTTAGAGAAGGGCTACAGGTGAGCAGGCAAAAGTGAAAAATCATAGGTCTTGAATGGTATCTATTCAACAGCATCGGACAAAACTGAATAATGGCAACATTTTCTCTAGATACACCTTTGCACACTGAATACCTGCATGTCTGTGAAAATGTAGCCTAAATTGTCATTAATTTCAGGCAGAATTATTCTCATCAAACGATTTTGAAATATAGAGTGGAAGCACTAGAAGTCCAGATGAGATTTTTTTTTTTTAAAGGTGTTTAGATGCCAAACTACTGATGTTTTCAGTGGGGGGAGTTAGGCACCCAAGTATCTTTCAATAATCTGTTCCAGAAGCACACCTTAAAACTGTACCGTGCCTCTGAAAAACGTGTTTGTGGTCATTAACTTCGTTATGCAGGATTTTCCTTTGTAAATCAAATCTTTCAACAGAGGAGGAACAAAGCTGTGTATGCGAGAGGAACATACTAATGAGTGACAGGATCAGTATCAGTGACATTTTGATTACTTCTCAGTCTACAGGATGAAATTTTTAGTAGATTCCTTCATAATTCTTTCAGAGGCCATAGTGAAATAATCATTGATTGCCTGTAGTTAGCAACTGATTCATACTCTAGCAATTTGGATAGTTTTAAGCGTTACCACAGAATTCTTAGCGTCTCCACGACAATAAAGCATGTTGGAATCAGGAGGAGGGTTCAACAGAGGATTGCTGTTGACTTGCCATGCAACTATGGAAAAAATGACCTTTTTTTATTCTTCAGTCCTCTGTTCACAGAATAAGCATGGCAGCACAAGATTTAAAAGACATTTTTGGAGGTAGCATAATCGAATATCAGTAAATTCTGGGCGTTGCATGCATGAAAGCTAAACATGAGATCACACATACAGAAATAAAAAGGTGGATCACAGTGAGAGTCTAGAAGACTGAAAAAGGGCTAAAGGTAGATGGAATAATAGGAAATTATGGCAATGCATTGGGAGCTTGTGTTTTGGTAAAAGGACAAATGCCACTTTGAGGGCATAAGCTATAATTACATCTGATAGAGACAGGAAGAGAATAGAACTTCTGTATGTAAAAAGACTTACTAGAAAGATAAAGTGGAAAGGGTTCAGAAAAAAGCAGTGGGTATCATTAAGATACGGGAAGCATTATTCAATGAGAGATGAGAAGCTCAAACTATTCAGTTTATTCAAAAGGAAGCTAAAATATTACTTGGTCTGTGGGAGTCTTCTGTTTTAGTCTTGCAGGGAAAAAAGTCTAGTGGATGTTTGACAAGTCTGGACTAGAAGAATTCAAACTATAAGCAAGACATGGCTTGTTATTAGTAAGAATAATTCACAGTTATGAAATTTTACTTACAGAAGTAATAGGTTCTCCATCACATATGTCTCTGGGTCTGAAGTCTTTCTGAAACATGAAATAACTCCAAGTACGAGCTCATGGAGAACCAGTTGTGTTGCAGAATGGTTCCTTCATGTTTGTGAAAAAGTTCTCTCCATTCTGCTGCTGCTTAGGGCTCACCATTGCAGTGTTTGTCAGGATGCCTTGCCATTAAGATATGTTAAAAAAGTGTGAAAGATTTCTTTGGGAAGATACTGGGGTTTTGGTTTGATTTGCTTGTTTGTTACGTTTCTTTTCTGTGCAGTACCCTTTCTGTAGTAGAGGTTCAGCTCTCGTCTGCATGGGAGTACTCTGCAGAGAATGGAGAAATCATGAAGATGCACCAGTCTGAGTACTTGAAGAAGTACTAAATGTGAGTTATTTAAAAATTAAAAAAAAAAAAAAAAAAAAAAGGGATTTTACATTGTCCGGTTAACAACCACCTTGGGTTTCATTTGCTGTCTATACAGCAGAGATTTGTAGGTATTAACCGAGAGCGAGAGAAGACAACCCTGTCATAGAAAACAGCTTTTACTAATGGCTCCTTACAATTCTATGAAATACATGAAGAACTCATGTATTTGTGCAAACTGTGTTTGCCTTTTGAAATTTGTCAGTGCCTGGAGACCTCATTTTCTTTGAGACGATTGTGTTAAGCTCTTAGTGAGGAACATGATAGGTCCTAAAGTACAACACACGGAGAGGAACCTTGCTAGAAATAGAACAGGAGAACCATTTTACATAAAACTTCCTATAAAGGAAGGTAATGGGAGCCAATAATCTTTGTGACCTAAAACAAGCGACAAGAGAGCGTGTGACTTTGTTTCCTCCTGGAAAGGAGAAAGCTGATCCTCACAGTGATGCTTGGGCTCCTTGTACTGTGTTTTGAAGCTCTCCTATCGGCTGATCAGTAGGTGTGGAAAGCATTGAAAAATTAGTAATAGAAATGAAGAGAAAGAACAACAATTAGTAAAACCATCTTTTTCCTTGCTTGTTTTGTTTGCTTGCCTGATATCTGCATCTTTGCTTAGGTTATTCGAATGGCTTGCATCCCAAATACAAGGATTCCAGTTTCTCACTTTGTGCTGTAGATTCTGTATCCGCTTCAGTCCCATTTCCCCAAATTCCGCTAATTCATTTCCATTTAAATAATTTCTCAATTTACGCTAGAATTTCTCTTTTGTTGAGTCTGTGGATAAGACCCCAGTACTTGAAGAGTAGCCGGAGTTGTGCTAATTAACATGCTAATGCTAGAAATGTGTGTTTCATTTTGGGGATATGTTCTGTCCCCCACATCCACAAAGGCTCCTCTGAGAACACATCTTCTGTCACGAAATTGCCTGCCAGAAAGGAAGGGTGGACTGCTGATTTCACTCTGATCTCTGTGGATCTAAACTGAGCTATTTTTATATATCTGTTTCTCATTTGGAGAACTATTTTGGGTCAAAGACAAGTGAGCCAAATGGATCCTTACAATAATTGCTCCCATTGGAGCTGAGTTTTTTTGTTCTTCAAAACAGGGATGTGAAAATTAGAGGGTTATATAAAACCCCAGTCCTTCCTGCTTGGTGTATCGATACAGAATGCAGCACCAGCAAAAAGAGGACCCAAAATCCCTGCGGCTTCCTGCCACCGTCACTCGTACGCCAGTCATTTCCCTGTGGTGCTTTGTGAAGCAACCTGTTAGATTCTTGCCCCCGTAATTGCTCTCTAGAAAAGGTACACGTGAAAGGGATGGACAGAACTGGTTGCTGTGGAAGGGAACAGTGAGTTAGTCTTTCGGTCTCTCATCTGCTGAAGATATGTGATGATTTCATATCTCAAAATGGGAATTTTACTTATTAGCTAATTTTCAGAAATGAGCTAGAATCCACATGGACTTTCTAGGTGGCAAGGACATGTGAAAAATATAAAATCCTCTCCACTTAGCAACTGGCATGTATTGCTGTAAATTCAAGAACAAGATTAAAATCGGAGATCTGGGTTACCACAGCTTGAAGACATTATGCTGGGAAAATAATATAGTATAGTATTTGGGTTGTGGAAGAGGCTGTGTTTAAGATTGCCTAGCACCATCTGCTGGGCACCTCTGCTCTGGGCTGGGACTTGCTCAGTTCTGCTTCAGAATAAAGCAGATGTTGGTATTTAGAGCCATTTAATACTTTGTGATTTGTGCATGGCATTTGGCTGTCATCTAGGACAAAGCTTGCATTCACATCTATGTTTCACTTAAATTTAAGTTTCTTGTAACCGCTACAGGGAGGCTCTAGTAGAATCAAGGACTTCATTCGGTGTGTGTAAATTAACACAGCCAAATTTTCAAAGAAAGGGATAGGCTGTGAACTACCTGACATCATTTAGAATGGAAGCCGTTGTTATTTCGTAATATTGCCGAGGAATGTCTGTCAAAGTGCCATTCTGACAGCACTTGCCTGACGGGTACCTGCAGAAACACTCTGCTGCCATGCAGGAAGATCAGATTTGGGTTCATTAACCATGTATCTAGATGAAGTCACTCTTTTGCGGTCTGTTTGGATGCAGCATTTTGGGGACCTGGTTGCACTGGAAGCAGTTGTTTGCTTCTGTAGTGCAAGAATGTTCCAGGGACTTCTGGTAAAGTGAAGAACAGCACTTAAAAGCTCAAAGGTTTGCTCTAACTGTTTGGCAGTGGGGAGTATAACAAAATGGGTGTGTGCAAAAAATCACAAAAAAAACAGGAATAAATAGCTATGAGGAAAGTGAGATAGTCTTAGATCCGTTAGAAAGCTGATGAATTTCTTTGTTAGACCACTGCTTTTCCCCCTGTGCGTTGTGCAGCAAAGGGAGAGTTCTCTGAATTCAAGTGACAAAATGCCAGTGACGAACTCCAGTTGCTGAAGGATGTTTAGGCTGAAATTTGTTAAGCAGAAGTAAACATCTTAAAGTCACTTGAAGTTGTATTTATGCTTTTGAAAGTCATATGGCATTAAAATGAATTTATTATCTAATTAAGGCAAACTTAACAAGAAGAATACGTTGGGATTCAGTAACACAGTCTGTTCAAAACAGAAAAAGTTTTTGAAATAGAGCTTGCTTACTTGAAATAGGAACATGAACATAGCCAAATCCTGCTGGCGCTTCTTCTTGGTTGAGTACAAAGAAATTCCCCTGACTTGAAAACCTTTTGCTATGACATCCATCATTATTGCCTGATGACAGGTCTCACGTTTCCTCCTATGCATTCCACTGACAGCGGTTTCACGATGACAGCAAAGGCAGATAAGGCAGCTGCTGGTGCGATCCAGGTGTCAACATTGACGGCTTCTTTTGTGTATCGGCTTTAATATTTAAGTTAACTTTATTGAGTGAGGTTATTTTCAGGTCTCCCTTTCTTCAGCTGGTGCCAACAGAAGGGCACTTCGGTCTCAAAAGAGGTGGTCAGCCTCTTCCACATCAGTTGCCATTAAAAGTAGCTAAAACTTTGTATGTCATTAGCGTAAGGGAAATCTCATTAGGTTTTTTCTCAGCCCTGCTTGCAAGTGTTTTCTGCAATCCAAGACTCATGGCACATTCATTTTGGTTAGGTAGGCACTGAATGAAATGGCAGACTAGTAAGAATGTTTTACACGTTTTTATGCTTTTCCAGTTGTATGGGAGGAGAGCGCCCTGGGAGGATCCTGCCAAATGGGTAATGGACACCTACCCCTGGGCAGCCACCCCACAGCACCATGAGTGGCCTCCTCTGCTACAGCTGCGGCCTGAAGACGTGGGCTTTGACGGCTACTCGATGTCACGGGAAGGCTCGACCAGCAAACAAGTTCCAGTGAGCGATGCTGAAGGAGATCCTTTGGTAAGCTCTCGGTTTTGAAACGGCAGAACTGCTTCGTTTCCCTTGTTTCTAGGGATTAGAAGCAGGAGTAAAAAAAGTAAAGGACAGCTGAGGAGTGATGAAAAGTTTTAGAATGAGAAAGCAATGTTTCTGGAGAAGTCATCAAGTCAGCTCGGGGAATGCATTTGCACAGAAAGCCCGTACAGTTTTGCAAGAAACAGCAGCAGAAGTTTTTCAGATTCATTTGTTGAGGATGTTTTGAGGCTAAGTACAATAAACTTAATTTCTACACTGTGGAATTAAATATGTGATCTTGTTACACACACTCGAATAACACAGTGGAACCATTTCATTTAGCCTGTTTTGCCACAATCACAGAATCACAGGCTTGTTGCTTTACTTCACGTGGCTTTTAGAGCTGTATTCTTGACACCAAGTGAAAACTGAGATTTTCAAAGAATATATGAACTAATAGTCACTGACTGGTGTCTAATTTATGAACCAGAAATACCACACAAGCATATAGGGAAACGTTAACATGTATTTGTATAGAATGTATAAATTGAGCTTGAAGGTAACACTAGATACCCATTTTCTTCCAATGGGAAACAATTGCTGAAGCTGCTGTGCAAACTGAATGCCCTGAAGCTGTTCTGTTGAGGTCTACATTTTTCTGGACAGTTGGGAGTATAGAATGTGTATTACAGTTTTTACTAGCTCATACACACATACACGAATATCAAGCTAGATACTAGGACATTTGGATTTGCCTCTTCTGACTGACCTGTCCATATTTCCATGGGTCAGAGGAAGAGAGGGGTAGGATGCTTGCAGAATCCTGTCGAGTACGGCTGTGGACTAATTAATCCCTTCAATCTTCTCATTATCACCTTTACTGGAAAAGCATACTTTTTACGACTAACTTGCATGCTGCCATAATATGATTTACAGTTAATTTCTCTTTTCAGAGACTCAGTATTAATTACCCTGCTTGTTTCTTCCTTTCCTTTGTTACCCACTGGCAAAGTGAATGCCACCGTAGCTTTCGTATGGAGTTGATATTCTTTCTACCTCAGAATACAAATAATCGTGAACTTCTGTGCCTTTGCAGATGAACATGCTAATGAGACTGCAAGAAGCAGCCAACTACTCAAGTCCCCAGAGTTACGACAGTGACTCTAACAGCAACAGCCATCATGATGACATCCTCGATTCGTCTCTGGAGTCGACATTGTGATCCTCCTCAGACAGAAATAGGTGGTTTCCATTACTGCTCTCCCACTTGGCAAGAACCCTGATCACAGACTCATGAAAAGAACACGTTCCCGGGCTGGGCTGGGATCTCAGTATTAGAGCTGCATGAACAACAGGACACTTGGAGTCAGTCTTGAACCTGGGTGCAGGCAACCCAAGCAACCTTTGTATTGTTTTTCTTTTGACGATGATGAGAACTGCACTATTCCTTTGTTTTCTTTTGTTTAGTTGCTGTAAGCTCTCATGCCTAAGATACTGAAGATGTTAAAAATAATCATCATTACTAGTTGTTGAAGGGGGGGGGGGGGGGGGGGGGGAACTTCACAGCTATGAAGCAAACAGCTTTGTGCCATGTACTGTCCAGAAGGAGAGGGGAGAGGAAATTTTTGCCTATGCTGCTTCTGACCAAACGCATTTAGGTGAGGGCTGGACTTTTACCAATCAGCTTTGCGGATTAAACTCAGCTTCATATAGTTCTGGTGCTATAACAATATCGCTTGCCTTGGTAATAATACTCAATAAAGGCAAAGCTGCAAAACAGGGAAGTTTGAATAAATATTAAAAAAGAGGAAAAGAAAAAAAAAAAAGAAAGCGCGCTGCTCCCCTTGCCAGTCTGAGACCTTGGCTTTCTTTCATTGTGTGTTTATAAAGATATATATAAATATTAAAAAAGAGGAAAAGAAAAAAAAAAAAAAAAAAAAAAAAAAAAAAGAAAAATTGCTGCTCCCCTTGCCAGTCTGAGACCTTGGCTTTCTTTCATTGTGTGTTTATAAAGATATATATATAAATAGGAATATAAAAATATATATATACAGTCTGAACAAATCAGGTTTTTTCAAACACTGTGTAACAATCAATCCTACTACAAGTGAAAGATCAGGTAGCCCTTCGCTAGTCAGGGCCTGATTCTCTTCCCACTTACATCCACGTAAGCAACTCGGTTGACTTCGGTGGCATTACACCCGATTTACTTACACCGATGAGAGTGAGTTTCCCTCCTCCGCAGAAGTCAGCAAAAGGGCCATGCCCCGTGAAGTCCTACAGCTCCAAAGGACCTTCGGCAGTGCACAGGCGTTGTGAGCCCTGTACACGGAGGTGAGCTACACCCCTGACAAAGGGGTTAATCAGACTTTCCGTTTTGAATTCTTGCCATGAAATGTTACAGCTGTTTTCTAAAAACTTTGTGTTTTGTTCAGAGTTTTTGTTCCAATCAGCACAACCATAAATGGGTTAATTGAAACTCAGCTCTGTGACAGTTCCAGCGCTACTCTGGTGACAACATTTACTTCCATGATTTTTCTTTTTAATTGGGGGGGGGGGAAGTATTTTAGCAGTATTCAGGTCTGGAAAAAAAGGAGGGAAGGTACTGCGTCTTTTAAGTTTAGCTGGGCCATGCTTTTGAGTCTTGGCAGAGCTGTGAACCTGGTTTTATTTCTCCTCCTCTCTGAACGCACACACCTACACTACCAGTGTTAAGGCTTGTACTTCTGTTGGGGAACAAGAACACCTCCCAGAGAATTGCACTTTCCTTTTTACGGAAGCAAATGCTTACACCACCATCTCCACAACGTCAGCTGTACCTCAGCAAAAGCGTCACTCCTCAATATTGATTCGTACTAGCCTTTCCAGCTATCTTTTGGTGCTGACTTTTAAAGCGATGCCTTATTTTGTACTAATTGTGTTTGATTAAATTAGTGCTGTATATTATGGGATTTTATTTAAAGAAACAGGGCTAAAGTCATCTCTCGGAATATCATAAGTTGCTGTGAATATTGTTTGTATGAGATACCAGAATTTGTTTAAATGTGACAAAAAAAGGAGGGAAATGAGATAACTTTTCAGGTTCATATCAATCCGCAGCTAATAAATCACTGAAGAGCTGTTTTATCCATGCAGGAGGAAAAAGAAAAAGCTTTTCAACTATAATAAATGCTGTCATTAATAAATTACAGGAATATGCTGGTTTTTCAATGTACAGAAAAAAACTTACTACAAACACTTTTTTAAGAGCTTGTGGGTTTAAAGTAATATAACAGACAAGTTCATGCTTCTGTGACTCAGCTCTAAGAGGATCGTTTTATTATACCTCATGACTTTCTGTAACATAACTGTACTTTGTCTTACTGAGCTGGTCTTGAATCTGCTCCTGTTACAACTTTTAAGTGCTGATGACTTTTTTTTTTTTTTTAAAGAAAAATATTGTAAAAGAAAAATTTAAATATTTTAATGATGGGGGGGGAAGAGCTTGGTGGTGTTACTGTTTAAACCGTATGAACTCTATTTCATTATTTCACTGAATGGAATACCAGGGGTTACTCAGCCAATGTTCCTAATCCAGTTCTTGGTACTGTAAAAATGGGATAAATCTGTATGGAATCAAATACATAGCATGCTGATGATGAGTTTGAGAGAGGTTAATTTTTCCAGTAGTCTTGACAATTATGCTTCCCAGCACTGACTTCACCTGCTACTACTGTGAATTTTGGTACCTAATCCCCCAACTGAATCCATGCAGATAGAGCATGTGCCTGTAAAAAAACCCAGTTGCAGGGCTAGGGCTTTAAACGGACTTAATATCCTAGAAAATTTCTCAGTTAACCTTTAACTGACTGCTATAAGACATGATTAAAATGGTGTTTTATTTGTGGGGAACGGGGTATTTTTTTTCCCTCATGTTTAATCCTGTGCTTAAGCTCAGGAAGAAATTTCTGTTATCTCTTATTTTTTATTGACACTACCTTGGATTACAGTGAGAGAGGCAATTTTGAGTAGGCTAGGCATTCAAGCATCACAATATTCAGTGTCTTTTCTGAAACTTCGGGAAGCAGGGTGACCTGTTGCGCACACGTCTTAGTTTTTATCAAGACTTTTCATAGATTCAGTCTTTCTTTAAGTGACTTTGTTCTCATTTAAGGCTTTTTCAAAATGCTTCCTTTTTTTTTTTTTGCCTTTTTTTTCTTACAAAGTTGGCTTGTTTAAAAAAAAAATCAAGAAGAAAGAAATGCAAGATTCTATGCAACATTCATGTTGAGTTATAAATTGAAAGTATAAACCATTTTCTTTCCTTCAGAACTGCCAAGAATGATACAGGCCATAAATGAGATGTGGTTTATTTGGGGAAGGGGAGGGAGGGGGTTGGTTAGCCTTTTTGTACATTTTGGAAGAAGCAAACTGATATTTCATTGTTGATGCTTAACTTCAATATTATCTGTATGAAATCTTTGTCTAAATGTGGCAATTTTCTTTCAAGAAAAAAATACAAAAACAAAGCAAAAAAATCTTTCTTTGTCGATATTAAATGGAAGGTTGCTGTTTTGATCTAGTCGTTTCCAGTGGAACAGTTTATGAAATATGTTCTATAAGATGTACATTTTTTCATTGTAACATAGAAATGTAAATATTTGATTAAAAGTGCTGCATTTTGATGAATTTTTTTTAGCCATTTTTAAAGAGAAAAACTAGGAATTTAGTATTTTGTGTACGTTTATGATGTTTTCCATTTGCTCCTCTCCCTATTTAATTTTCAGTTCTCATTTAGGATTGGAATTTGTGAATGGTCTGTTTGAGATCATGCCTCCCCTTTCTCACCCTCCCCGTTTCTCCCCCTTCCCCGCCCCCTGTGTCATGGAGAATAAAGCTGATGATTGTACCAGTCTTAAATTATTCATGATTCAATAAAATTGATGCTTATTTATTCAGATCTGTGGCTTCCCAGAACTTTTTGTCCCTTCTTAATCAACAGTTTCTGTTTTTTTCTTTGAAGGTTGTGGGGTTCAGTTCTTGTTTTTATTGGCTTCTTATAAGTACTTGTGAAAAGATGCCAACAGCCCTTACCCACATCCAGGAGGCAATTTAGCAGAGGGACTACACCGATACGGTTCTCTCCCGTAGCTAATGTTTGCACACAGTATCCATCAAGATCTGCTCAAGACAAGACTGGTCTATCCGTTTAGAGTGTCTCTGCATAAAGCTGACAGTCATACGTGGCCAGCAGGCTGGATGTACCCTGATACCAGCTGGTGCCAGCTTCTTTTTCAAGAGAAATAACCCCTGTTGGTCACAAGGGCTGCACATGGCAATGTATGTTAGGCTTATTCTGAACGTGCTTTGCAGAATGAACTTCATAGAATCATAGAGTGGTTTGGGTTGAAAGGGACCTTTAGAATCATAGAATCATAGAATCATTGAGGTTGGAAAAGACCTCTAAGATCATCCAGTCCAACCGTCAACCCAACACC